GACTCGGATCCACATGAGTAGCAACAAACTCCAGGCCCTTCGAGAACGTACTATGGCAAAAATCGATACAAGTGGACTCTCCACTTTCAAATGTAAGAACAAGAAGTTACAACATTATTTCTTATCTTCTTGGGGTTATTGGGCCAGCCAAGTCTCTTGGGAAATTGTGTCTCCAGAAAAGTGTTTGGAGATGTATAATAACAAACGATATTTAAGAAGAGTCTGTTCTTAGAACAAATAAAAAACTTGCCAGGATTAGAAAGAAATATACCGATTGTAATAGGAACGGATCTAAAAGATTTAGACGATATTGAACTGAGAGCGTTTATCCATTTTTTTTATTTTACTCAGCAATATTTAAATCAAATACGGAAGACTTAAGTTCAATATTCGCTATCGACTGTAAAGGTAGAGAAATTTTTAGATGCACCATGTCAGTAAAACGATTCTTAGTACATTTGACAGCGCTTAGGTTTGATGACGAAACTTCGAGGGAAGAACATAAAAAAACCGAAAAACTTGCCCCATTTCATCAATTTTCAATAAGTTTGTAGAAAACAACAAAAAAATTGCTCATTGTTGTTCGGGGAAGATGTTTATTTTGCATGTACATGTCTTAAAAACCCCGAAAATATGGCTTAAAGATAATGGCACTGACGCCCGAACCCATTACTTTAACGCAACAGCAGACAACTGGTTTACATCCTTAAAAGTAATGAGTGAGTTGAGGAACCGAGGCCTAACTTACGTGGGTACTGTTAAAAAAAAAATAAAAGAGAGATACCTATTTCTTTTTTGACAACTAAAACGAGGCTCGCGGGATCATCTCTATTTGGATTTGGCGATAGAGTTATATTAGTTTTATATTTACCTAAACCACGAAAAGCGGTACTTTTGATCTCTTCAATGCACTACAGTAATGCAGTAAATGATGAAATAAACAAACCCGAAATTATCGAGTTTTATAATCAAACAAAAGGAGGCGTCAATGCATTAGATGAAAAATGTACAGTGTATTCTACACATCGTAAAAGTCAAAGATGGCCTCTTACTTGTTTTTATACAATTTGTGTATATTTCTTCAGTCAATGCGTTTATAATATACTCATTCCTGCCTGGAAACCCCTAAAAGTCGAGCTCTGAATTCATCAAATCTCTGGCTCAACAGCGTGTGCAGGATCATATGGAAAGAAGACTAACTATTTCTCAAATTCCAAGGCAACTGAAAACATAATATCGCTTCCATTTTAAAAACAGACAAACATTTCTTGAACAGAAAAATGCTATTCTAGAAAAAAGAGTAAGGTGCTCAAAATGTCCACGATAATTGGATAGAAAAACGAAGATAGTTTGCGTTTAGTTGCAAAGCGCCAATATGCCACATGTGTAAAACATACATTTGCCAAGATTGCCTATAAGAATGGATTGTAGGTTTTATGATGTTTTTGTCTTTGGTTATTTTTTTGTGTTGGTAGATTAGATTGAATAAGTTTATGTTTTAAGAAAAAAAAATTCTTTTGTTCCTCATATTTTTTTGTTACAGGATAATGTTTAGTATAGTTACAAAATAACTCAGTTTTTGAGGCTGTTTCTTAGTTTAATTTTTAAGCGTGATAAGTAGACTTCGGCAAATATGCAAATAAAAATGTAGAAAATATGCGCATAAATATGCACGTGTTTACCCGAAAATATGCAAATATTTTACAAAATATGCATACAAATAAATAAAAAAATCGTAAAATAGTAACAATTTTATTTAAAAAAAAAGTGTACATAACTAAATATTTCCTACTATTCATTAAGATTTACATATATTTTAAGTAACTACATCATTTTTAAGTATGAATAAACTTATTTAGAATTATGGTAACAATAAATGACCAAGTGGTGTTCAAAATTTTCTAACAAAAACTTGTGGCTTCTGTCTGAGTACATATATTTATATATGGAAAAACTTCGTTCAACATCAACTGATGTAACGGGAGCATTTTTCAAACTAACCAAAACATTTGGTTCTAAATTAATTGTTTCCGAAATATTTCCAGCTAGAACACTGACTACTTCAGAAAGAATATGGTAACCTTTATTTTTTTCCATAGTAGCTTCAAATTTTTTTAAAATATCTTTTCCAATATTACCTCTAACGTTCCGACAACATGACGCAAATTCTTTTATTAATGCTGTACTTTCGAACAATGACAGTTTTGGTGATTCTACTGAGTAATTGTTTTTTGAACAAAACTAAAATTTGATTTTATAAATGAAAGTTCTTGTTGAAGCAAGTTACTCTGAAAAGTTTATTTAGAATCCAAAAGAGATTGGGAACTTTCATCTGTTAACGATATCAATTATGTTCTTTATTTTAACAAAATGATCTGCATAAAAATTAGCTGCTTCTAACCATGTTCCCCATCGCGTTAAAATAGGTTGTGGTGGAAGAGGAATGTTAGGTAGCATTTCTTTATAAAGTTGAATTCTTATAGGAGATTTAAGAAATATTTTTTGACACTGGATATCATGGTATTTACAAGAGGAAACTTTTTTCGTATTTCCTCTGCAACTCTGTTTAATCCATGCGCTACACAAGTAACATGTATTAAATCTGGGAAAAAATATTTTTAAATTTTGTCCTGCTTTCACCATATAAGGAGCAGCATCCGATAAAATAAGCAGTAATTTATTAGAAGGAATAGTTGTCGGAAGAAAAAAGTTGCTAATGTTTCTTGTATAAAACGCGAAATTGTTAAAGCATTTGTTTTCTCAAGTTGCTGGCATGAAATAAGATGAGATTTTGGTAAGGTATCTTCTTTAAGAACACCAATCAATAAATGAGCAATATACTTTCCTGAGGAATCAGTGGTTTCGTCTACAGATATGTAAAAATAATTATCTGCAATTTCTTCCTTAATATTAATTAACACCGACGAGTATAGCCCGTTCACATTATTTCTTCTTAGAGACCGATCACTTGGAACATTAAGTTTGCAATATTTTTTAGAAACGAACTAAAATTTACATTTGCTAATTTTGAAAGCGGTATGTTTGCAGACACTAATGCGCGACACAAGTCTTCATTAAAAGTTTCTTGCTCATCTAATTTTTTGAAGTAGATTGGAAACATTTAGCCATTGAAGTTTGATGTTTTCCTCCTATTTTTCCTTTTTTTGCAATGTGTTAAGCAGTTCTCACATGTTGGTCTATCTGAAATTTCTTCTCACATGCTATCTATAAATAAAAATAAAAACCTTTATTTTAACCCAACCTTTAAAATATAAAAATATACAAGGTGTTTTTGGTTAATCAAATAACTGGTTTGGAAAAAAAACACTCGCTAAGTGTTTTAAATGCAGTATTAATCCACAAATTAGTTTTTGTTACTAACCATTAGTACATCATATAACTTATTTTAAAATTCAACAAAAGTTTTTTTTTGTTAATTCAATTTCAATAAAAATAATTGTGTTTTAGAATAGCTGACTTCATAAAAAAAAGTAAAGGTGAAAACTTTTTCTAAATACACACCATTGTATTGTACCATGGACAATTTTTTCTCACTAAAGGAAGTTATTTTTCATTTAAAAACAACCTACGAGTACTAAATTTCAAGTAATACGTTTATTGGTTTTAAAGTTATTGTTGTTATTAGCTAAAAGAATTTAATTTTTTTTTATTTTAACACCCTGTATCTCGAAAAGTAAATAAGTTTGACCCCTCAATAACTATATCGTTTTGTTCAATTTTTCGAGAAGTATCTACAGTCAAACGTTGTAAGTGTCATTTGGAAATACCCTGTATGTATGAAATATTAGATATTTAATAGAAAATATTAGATACTTACAATTTTGCCACAGACTGAACAGTAGATTTTCCCATATCCATAGACAGTTCTTTATAAGGTTTAATCCAAGTTGAAGCACTGGTTGTTTTAGGCATTATAAAATCACAATATTCCTTTTTGTTACGCACAACGAGTGTTTTATGCTTTGAATATCAAAACAAAAATGATTTACAAATCTGAGCATCAAATTAGAAATGTTTAGGTACCTAATTCAATAAACTGGGAGATTTTAGAAAATCCCTAAATTAGGAACAAAACTAATTAGCCGTTTACCTGCTGTTAAGATACAATAAATTGTAGATAGATTTGGGGATTAGATCATAAAATGCAAATGAGCGAACCCTTAGCGATTATCCAATAACTGAATGCCTCAGTGACCGAGACTTTCTAAGAATGTTGAGGGCTACTTAAATTGATCTTCTTTGAAATTGTAAATGTTTTGTACCTGTAGAGATTACGTACTTAGATCATTTCTTGATTAAAATGACTACAAAATTTTATACAAGAATTGAAATAAATTGGTATGTTTAAAAATTTTCAAATACAGTATAAAAATCTGAACTTTTATGCACTTTATGCAAACTTTTATACAAATATGCCAAAATATGAAATATTTGCATAAAATATGCACAATATGCAAAATATGCAATATGCATATTTGCCGAAGTCTAGTGATAAGTATTTTCAAAAATGTGTTTAATTTATGTTATAACAAAATAAACGTCTTTAAGCTATTTAAGTCATTTTTTTAAATATAAGCAAATATCAGTGTGTAATTTTGCAAAACAAATTGGGTCAGTGTGACCTACTCACCATACACGTAACAAAAAATGGACCTTAACCGTTACTGGAAGCAGAAAACCATAACATTCAAAAAATTCTTCAGGCAAATTTAGTGAAAAAAATACTATTCTATTGGTTGTCTAAATAAATTCATAATGTGACTATTTTCTGAGAATTTTTCAAGTTTTAATTGTATATGAAGTAACACTTTAAATAATAGCAATTGATTGATTTAATCTGATAGAGTTAATAATTTCACGAAATTGATGATATTGTTCACGAAGTTGACCTTCATAAAGCAAATACATTTTATATCTGCCATAAATCATTTATATATAATCAAAAATTTCTGTTAGCTAATATCAATACATCTATAGCCATGTATCTAGTCAAAGCTTTTGTGTTTACTTGTCTTTTACTAATTAAGTTGGACAGGAGTGAGAGCATAAAAGTAAGAAATCAATTTGATGATGCAGATGCTAATAATCTTGTAGCTGTTGTTCAGGTAAATATTTTTTTAAATACAATTTACTTATACATTCCAATTTAAACTATTATAAAATTATAAAGTTATATATCGATACCATAATTCCCAAACTGGCCAACTCCCTTTCTTCTTCTTCAAGTGCCCTGTCCGTTGCGAACGTTGGCTATTAACATGGCAATTTTGATCTTGTTTGCGGCGCTTCTGAATAGTTCGACCGATGTGAGCCCGAACCACTTCCGCAGATTTTGGAGCCACGAGTGTCTTCACCTGCCTGGCCCTCGCTTAATGTCTATTTTTCCCTGGACAATCAATTGTAGCAGACGGTACTTATCGTGTCTCAATATGTGGCCTAGATATTCAAGCTTTCTTTGTTTAATTGTATGCACGATTTCTTTCTCCTTTCCGATTTTTGGAGTACTCTATGTTGGTGACATGTTCGGTCCAGGATATACAAAGAATGCGTCGGTACAACCCACATTTTGAATGCTTCTAGTTTTCTCGTTAGCGTCTCCGTCAGCGTCCAGGCCTCCACGCCATACAGCAAGATCGGAAAAATGTAGCATTTAACTAGACGTAGTTTTAGGGGAAGAGACAAATCCTTGCTTTAACTCCCTTTAAACCAATTTTTTAGGAGAGACACAAAACATTATAATATTTTTTAGATTTATGATTTACTAAATAGCAATACCTTAGGATCTCATTTGAGTTTTCCTGGTCCTATGGAGTTGTACAAATTTAGCTGTTTAAAATTCTTAAAGTAGGAATAGTTTAAGTATTTAACTGTGCAAGGTTTTGATTTCTTCACTTTTCTACAAATGGTACTGTACTCAGCTGGAACATTAATTATTTGATTTATAAGTTTTTCTGTACGATTGCCTGCATACTGTCGACTTCCATCTTTGTGTAGACTGCTTCCAAATATTTTTGTTCAATAGTCAAATTGTGTAACTAAGCTAACGAGAGCGTTGCTTAAAGTAACGTTTTGGTTCTAATTACGTAGTTAAGGCGAGATCAGATTCGGCAAAAACATTTAAAAGTAAATTGCTTTAAGCATCAGCTAGGGCGTAGACAGGGTGATTGATTAGTGTGAGAAAGCTCAGTAAATCTGTTCTAGTAAAAATTATAAAAAATGTTATTAACAAAACAAATTGTAGGCAGGTTTAAACTCCACATTTTAAAATTAGTTACAATTATACAGGTATTCTATAAGATGGTGGCAGACCAAACACTTGTTTTTTTTTAATAGAACACCCTGTATTTTATTTTAAATTTGAAATCTGCTTCACTTTCACATCACAACAATGTAAAGTTTTATTATGTTTTACCTGGTATTTAAAAAGTTATAACCAATATTCCATAGTTTTGTAATAATTGTTAAAAGTTAAAAACCTATTCGTTTTCATAATATTCGTTAAATCAAATACAGAGTAAGTCAAAATGCAAGTACATTATTTTCTTGATAATTTTAAATATAACACCCTGTACTTTATATCATTATCGAAAAGTACTTATATCGCACTTCAATTTTATGAAGTACTCTCTATACCTAAAGTTATCAGTTTTCTAGATATTTTTTTTATCATCAAAGTATTAAGTTGGTAGATATTTTAACGTTTATCAATAATTATTGTGAGTTGGTCATGATTTATTTGTCAGAAACTGACAGTTTGACATTTTATTAATTCAGTAACGAAATAACGACACAAAAAAGAAAACAATTTATTTCAAATAAAATTTATAAAAAATAATCGACGAAAATTAAAAAAAACAGAACACATAGAAAAATAAAAACAACAGTAATTTTAACTTATCTTACTTAAGTAAGGTGTTTAAAATGACCTCCCAAAACACCTATGCATACTTGAAAGCGGTCATTGAAATGTTGCTTACATTACTAAGCATTTGTAAAGAAATATTTTGAAATGCAATTCGGATTCTATTTTCATGTCATCTCTTGTTGGAGGTATGTATATACTTCGTTCTTAACGTAACCCCAAATGAGTCCATTTTATTGAATTCTGGTGATCTTGGCCACCTTACCCTTACGATCCATCTTTCACCAAACTAATCAATAAGTTCACCACGTACTAATTCGTTGTGGTGCGCAGGAGCATCACAACGTTATACGTGTTCAGTACATCAAGTGGAACCTCTTTTAATAATATCGGTAACTGATTTACGATAAAATCTAAATAAATCTCACTATTTAAGTTATCTTTAAAAAAATAGACCATAGAAAATAGAGACCATCTTGTTTGACTATGTGTTACTATAGGGTATGGATTACTTGTTAAAAAGAAAGTTATGCCTATTAACAGAACCGTTTCGATGGAATGTAGCTTTATCACCAAATAGGACATAATCAAAAAAATCTCTCTGTCATTAATTTTTTCTAAGGCCCATTCACAAATACCTACTATTCTTTTCTGAAAATCATCATTATTTAATTATTGATGCTTTTGAATATGATAAGGGTGCATCTTGTTTTTAGATATAATGTTTTGAACAGAGTAACTAAATCCTTATACTTTTGTGTGTGTTTTCTGTAACTGCCATCAACACACCCATTTTATTTTCCTCTGTCACACTAGTTTTTGTTCGTTTATGGTTTTCATGATTAACTGAACCAGTGCGGTTAAATCGATCTTTCAATTTTTATCAAATGTATCTTGTCTAGGTTGCTGCCTATCTGAAACCGTTCTTGATAAATTCTAGCTAAAAGTAATGAATTTTTACTGCATTCTCCCAATATTCAGATCATATCTACCATTTCATCATTAGTAAAATTCATTATTGCTAATTTAAATTGAATCAATTACTGAGTTACTAAATTATAATTGTTGCTAATTTACTGTGTACCCCAATACTGAATTAATAAACAATAATGTCAAACTGACAGTTTCTGACAAATCAATCATGATCAACTCACAATAATTTATTGGTAAGCGTTAAAATATCTACCAAACTAATACTTTGATGCAAAAATAAAATATCTAGAAAACTGATAACTTTAGGTAGGTATAGGGTGTACTTCATAAAATTTGAAGTACAATATTAGTTCTTTTCGATAGTGATATAAAATATAGGGTGTTCTAATTTAAAATTACCAAGAAAATAATGTACTTGCATTTTAACTTACCCTGTATTTGATTTAAAAAATATTATGAAAACGAATATTTTTTATAATTTCTAACAATTGGAAAAAACTATGGTTGCAATAGATCAATGTTCCTATACTCCTTTTTAATTATTCAGTGAGTTAAACTTGACACGATTTTCAGGTAATATTGGTTATAAGTTTTTAAATATCTGGTATAACATAATAAAACTTTACATTATTTCGTTTAAAAAATATAAGTTTGGTCTGCCACCAACTTATGGAACACCTGGAAGATTGTAACAATTTTAAAATGTGGAGTTTAAAGCTGCCTACAATTTTTATCAATAACTTTTTTTTTGTAATTTTTACTATAACCGATCTACTGAGCTTCTTCACACTAATCAATCACCCGTATTTAAATATTCGATATTTGAAGGAAAAGAATCATGCTACAATACTGTTTAAAATTTTATTAAATTATCATTACATGTGAGTCTTAAGTCTCGCAATAGATGCCTTAGGGTTTTGACTCATTTCGTTGGGCATGAATTTTCTTTATCCATTGTCTAATATAATAATTAACAATTATGTTTGCTCTTAGTATCATTCGTCTTTACATCTGAATTAGTAAAGAAATATAACATATTAATTCATTGATGATTTTTTCACAAACTTTTTATTTTAGATTTACCGTCACGGAAGACGAACTCCGTACTCATTTTACAAAAATGATCCCCATGTTAATTCATCAGAGTGGGAGGGACTTGGTGACCAACAACTTTTGAATGTAAGTGCTTTTTTTTAGTAAGACAATTTAAGATAAGGCCATTATTACACTGATAATGGAATATTATATATACTTAATACAAAAGAAGAAGTATTGAAAAGGTGGGTGGAACACTATAAAGAACTACTTACTATCGAAGTAGAAGATCCAAATCAACCACCCCCAGGAGCAAGCAACAATACACCATTGGAGCCTCCATCAATTTAAGAAGTGCAGATTGCAATAAAACACCTAAAAGTAATAAATCTCCAGGAAGTGATAGTATACCCGAGAAACTTATTAAATATGGAGGTGCTACTCTGACTAACCATATACAGTATGGTGGAAATGAAAGGAATAAATTCGTTTTTTCGTAAACCGGAGACTGGAAAAAAAAAACCTTAAGGAAAAATCCTGAAACCCGTCGATTTTTATTTTTAAATAAGCTATTCGTAAGAATACATTTTTATTTTTGACGTCATCTATGTGAGCGTGATGACGTCATTGCTAAAATTTTTAAATAGAAAGGGGGGTATTGTAATACATCATTTGAAAGGTCTTTTAAATACCTATTCAGCCATATCAATATGTCTGAGTATTTGATGTTTGTAATTGTTTAAAAAAATTATTAAATATTTATTATTACAATAAATATTTATTAAGTATTGATATGATGTATTATTTACACCCAAAAATAAATTTTATAAAGGCCATCACTGGTAATGAAATGTCTTTTTTATCTACTTTTTACCTTTTTAAAAAACTAGTTACCTCATCCATATGAACATTGATAGTTGGACATTCAAACTTAATTATCTTTCTTTCAAGAGGTATGTGCGTTATTTAATAATAAATACCCCCGTCGAGAACCAATTTCACAATCCACTGTTAGCAAAATTAAGAAAAAATTTAGAGAAACGGGTCATGTTAAAGACCTTCCTAAAGGTAGTAGAAAACCAATATCTGAAAACCAACAAGTAGACGTTCTGTTAGCTTTTCAAGATAATCCTCATAACAGTTCACGGCAAGTCGCATTAGATAATGACATGGACCATTCAACAGTTCTTAAACAGCTAAAGAAGGAAAAGTGGCATCCCTACACAGTAAGTTTAGTACAAGAACTTATGGAAGATGATTTTGAGAGACGAATTGAATTTTGGCATTATAATGGAACGAAATAACAGAGATCCGATTTTTAAAAAAGATTATTTTCTCTGATGAAGCTACATATCTACTAAACGGTCATGTCAATCGTCAAACTTATCGGTACTGGGCTACGGAAAATCCACACTGGATGCAAGAGTACCGTAGACAATACCCAGAGAAAATTAATGTTTGGGTGGGAATAATAGATAATAGGATTAATGGGCCATACTTTTTCGAAGAAAATTAACAGGTCCTCGATATTTAGAATTTCTTCAAAATTCCTTGCTTCCAGAATTGAACCGGTTGTTTCCAAACAGAAATGATTTATGGCTACAGCAAGATGGTGCACACTATGCTGTCTTGGTACGCAACTACTTAAACAACGTCTTTCCAAATCGGTGGATAGGTCGAAGAGGAACAATAGAATGGCCGCCTAGGTCACCTGATTTGACTCCTCTTGATTTCTTTTTATGGGGATATTTAAAAAGTAAGGTGTATCAAAATAGACCACAAAATATTAATGAACTGAAAGAAAGAATACGTAATCAGGTTGTTCAAATAACTCCGGAAGTTTTAGAGAAGAGTTCGCGGCACGCCTCTCATTGTATTTTAGCTGAAGGTAAACAATTTGAGCACTTAATTTAGGTTTCGTTGTATTTAATGAATAATACTTAATAAATATTTATTGTTATAATAAAAATTTAATTATTTTTTTAAACAATTACAAACTTTAATTACTTAGACATATTGATATAGTTGAATAGGTATTTAAAAGACCTTTCAAATGATGTATTAATAAAATAAAAATGTATTCTTACGAATAGCTTATTTAAAAATAAAAATCGACAGGTTTCAGGATTTTTCCTTGAAGTCTCCGGTTTACGAAATAACGAATTTATTCCTTTCATTTCCACCATTCTTCTTCTGTAGTGCCTTATCCGGTCCGGATGTTGGCGATCCTCAAGGCGATCATGCCTTGATGATCATCACCATACTGTAAATAAAATCATACTGAGAGCCTGGAATGAGGAACAAATCTCGGAAGAGTGGTGTATTGGGATCGTTTGCCCGCTATACAAAAAGTGTGATCAATTGGAATGTAGAAAATATAGGGGAATAACCCTCCTTAATACACCACACAAAATATTTTCGAGTATTTTATATAGTCGCCTGAGTGCATATTCAGAGGAGCTTCTTGGCGAATATCAAAGTGGTTTTAGGCCTGGTCGATCAACAACAGACCAGATCTTTGTGCTAAGGCAAATACTGGAAAAAAATCAATGAATTCAATATCGACACGTGCCATATTTTCGTAGATTTTAAATCGGCCTATGATAGTGTCCTAAGAAATAAATTTTATGAAGCCATGGATGAATTTCACATCCCCGATATACTGATAAGACTGGTTAAGACTTCTTCTTCTTCAGGTGCCATCTCCGCTACGGAGGTTGGCAATCATCATAGCTATCTTAATTTTTGAGGCAGTAGCTCTAAATAGTTGTTTTGAGCTGCATCCAAACCATTCTCTCAGGTTCTTCAGCCATGAAATTCGTCTTCTTCCGATGCTTCTTCTGCCATCTATTTTTCCTTGCATTATGAGTCGCAGGATGCCATACTTATCGCCCCGCATCACATGTCCGAGATACTGTAGCTTTCTTTCTTTAATTGTAAGTTCAATTTCCTTCTCTTTGCCTATTCTTCTCAGTATTTCATTGTTTGTAACTCTATCTACCCAGGAAAACCCTCATAATTCTTCTATAGGTCCACATTTCAAAGGCGTTAAGTCGTCTCATGGTATCTAGATTTAACGTCCATGATTCCACTCCATAATATAGTACACTGTATACGTAACATTTTGTTAGGCGTACTTTAAGAGCTAATGTTAGATCTTTGCCACATAGGACCTTTTTCATTTTTATAAAATTAGAACGTGCTTTTCGATTTTGACTTTGATTTCTGCCGTGTAGTCATTATTTTCTGTTATAAGTGTTCCTAGGTAAGTGTACTTTTTTACTCTTTCGATCTGCTGGCCCTCTACTATCAAGATTTTCGTTAGTATTATAGTTGTTTTTACAAATTTTCATAAACTTCGTCTTTTTGACATTAAGAGAGAGTCCGTACTCCCTACTACACATGACTATTTTGCTCATGAGTCTTTCCAGGTCTTGTAAACTATCGGCTATTATTACTGTATCATCTGCATATCTGATGTTGTTAATTAAGACTCCATTTACTCTTATGCCGACTGTTTTATCTTCCAGAGTTTCTCGAATTACCTCTTCAGAATAGGCGTTAAATAATAGAGGTGATACAATGCAGCCTTGCCTGACTCCTCTCTTTATTTCCATTTCTTCAGATGTTTCTTTTTCGATTCTTACTATTGCTCGCTGATTGTAATAGAGGTGTGTTATTAGCCTTAAATCTCTTTCATCTAGGTTTTTATTTTTTAGAATTTCCAGGAGTCGATCATGTTTTACTTTATCAAACGCTTTATTGTAGTCTATAAAACAGACGTAAAGAGGACGGTTAATTATTTCCTGGGTTTCTGTCTAGATTTGTGTTGATATCGTGTTTCAGATTTTCTTTTGTTTCTTCTGACTTTAGTTTCTGTATGTTAAGTTTATTGTTATTGCGGCTTTTTTGTGTCTTTTTAGTTGAAGTTGAAATCTAGCAATAAGAAGACTATGATCAGAAGATACGTCCGCTCCTGGATATGCCTTTACTGCCTGAATTGAGTTTCGATATCTGTGTTTTATTAGGAAGTAATCAATTTGATTTCTGACGATTTTGTTGTCTTTGTCAGCTGGCGATTTCCATGTCTAAAGGCGTCGCTTAGGTAATTTAAAGAATGTATTTGCGGCTATAACATTGTGCTCCTGGCAAAATTCTATTAGGCGATACCCTCTGTCGTTTCGTTCACCAAGCCCATATGGTCCTACTAGGGTAGCATTTTCCTTCGCCAATTTTTGCGTTGAAATCACCCATGATCACTGTTACGTCTCTAGATGCTGTGAGATGTAATGTTTTTTGAAGTTCGCTATAAAAGTTTTCTATTTCTTCTTCATTTTTGTCAGCAGTTGGTGCATAAATCTGAATTAAATTCATTTTGCCATGGGTTGTCAATAATTGCACCATTATAATTCTTTCAGATATGGAACGAAGCTTGTTAGTGATCTCGTTAGTTTTTCAGTGAGGATCATAGCAACTCCATATCTGTGTTGGGTGTCGCTGCTTCCAGAGTAATAAATTCGTCCATTGTCTGTATTGATTTCGCCAGAGCCGACCCATCTTGTATCGCTTATTCCTAATATATCGATCTCTAGTCGCATCATCTCTTGCTGTATATTTCTTAGTTTCCCAGGTTCATACATACTTCTTACATTCCATGTAGCTATTTTGTAAGTGGATTTGTATATATTTAGTGAACAGGGATTTCGCTGACTAACGGCCTGGGAAGCCCTGTCGTTACAGCTGTTTCTTCCCCTGCCGAATCTTGGCATCCGAGAACCATGATTAGTAGGTTGTTGATTGTCATTTTTATTAGCCATGACGATTTCTAGGGATACTCCAAGAGTCTTTAATGTAGTGGTTTCCCTGGTTAAGACTACTATGCGTAAAGTTATTTGCAAAGTCAAAATACAAGGCGAACAATCACAGACATTTGAAACGCATGTTGGGCTGAGACATGGAGATACGCTGGCGTGTCTTCTTTTCAACATAGCTCTGGAAAAGGCGGTCGGGATGCCGCCCAAATAGACAATAGAGGAAACATTTTTAATAAATCATTATTTTGTCCCCAAATTTGTCTAGAAATATGTCTAGAAAAACCCATATTTGAAATGTAGAAAACACTTTATTTGAAAATACATGATTTTCAAATTAAGTGTTTTTTTTTAAACACAGTTTTTATAGCGGTAAAATAAGGCGGTCTTAAATAGATAACGCAATTACGCAATTGGCGTGATTGAGACATATACATTTTGGAAAACAAAATATATATTTCTTAACATTTATATATATTTCCATATTTATATATATTCCACATGTATATTTGTACTTTATACAATATTTTAGGAAGGAAAACGTGAACACTATCTGCTTGGTCAATTTACAAGACAGCGGTATGCCGACTTTTTACCGGAAAGGTACGACAAAGATGTAATAATGGCGTATACAACAAACGCTGACACAACCCACATGTCAGGTCAATGCAATCTTTATGGATTGTTTCCAGCAAAACACGATCAGATTTGGCAGGAGAATCTACCATGGCAGCCAATTCCTTTGCATGTTGGAGATGCGAATATTTTATACGCTGAACCTTATCAATGCGCCAATTATGTACAACTAAACGATGAAGTATGGAAGACCGAAGAGTATGCAGCTATTAATAGAAAATATAAATCCACGTATGAATATATTTCTAAACATTCTGGTGAAAATGTAACTGACGCCCTTACTACATGGAATGTGTTTGACTGCCTAGAAGTTGAATCTAAAATTGGACTTGAGCTCCCGGAATGGACAAGTTCGATTTATCCGGAACCTATAACTTATCTAAATGCAATAAGTTACAAATCTTATACTGGAACTACGTTACTGAAACAGCTAGGTAATTATTTTTTGTTAATATTTTGAAGTGAATAGCGGTTTTTGACATCGATTCGCTACTCTCGATCAATTCGTTTTTAGTTATCATATATTTACTATAAGCAGGTTTAAATTAATAACTGAATTAAAAATAACTAACAAAATATAGACATTAAATGAAAAGTTAAAAACTAAAAGAATATTTATGATTACAAGATGCGATTCGTAACGATTGATACAATTTATTAAAACTCATCTGTTAAATTTTTATAATAATTCTCGTTTTAAAATAATTTTATATAAATACAATTATTATTTTCAAACATTTATATTTATATTTAACAGAACCAGTTATTTGTATAAGCCTCAATGTTTGCATATTGATGCTAATAGGGAGGTCTCGGTCATCAATTCACACGTGTTGAAAGACACCTATAAGTTTGCCATTGTTGACTTGGTCAAAGGCCTTTTCGAAGTCGATAAAACACATATTTACTGATTGTTCTATATCCCTACATCTTTGAACTATGATTCACTTAGTTATACTTCTATTTTGTTATACTGTTTGGCATTTATTTTTTTTTTTGGTATCATTACAAATGTTGACAGTAGCCAGTCTGTTGGTATATGTCCTGTTTCGTATATTTTATTAAAGAGGCTTAGAAGAGAATGTTTGCCCTTATCGTCAGGCAGTTTGATTATTTCGCTTGGAATTTTATCTGGATTGCTTGCTTTTCCCATTCTTTAATACCTTTAGAGCTCTTTCTATTTCATCGAGTGTTATGTTTGGACCAGTCGATATATTTTTGATTTGAACTTCTATTCTATCGTCATCAAACAGCTCCCTAATATATTCTTTCCACCACTCTAATCTGTCTTGTTCATTGAATATAATATTTCCTTGTTTATCAAGTAAACTACTTGCAATTGATCTATATCTTCCAGTTAGTTCTTTTACCTTTTTGTACATATTAAACCTGTCATTATTTTTCTAAAGTTTTTCTTTTTGAAGACATTTGTAGTTGTACCATTTTTCATTTGCTTCCTGAATTTTACATCTGATTTCTTTATAAATTTCATTGTATTCTTCCGTATTTTTTATTTTTCTGTTTTCGCCTGCTTTCCATTAGTCCCAATATTTTATTCATTGTTGTTTGCGATTATTATTAGTTTTATACTTTTAAGTTGTTTCTTGCATAATGCTTTTGACATAATTCCAGTGGTCTTTGACGTCATATCTTTCGATTTTTTGAACTTCTTTTTTATCTCTTGTGTAATTTCATGACTATTATTTTGAATACAGTCAATGTTTATTCAGTTAGTCGGTTGTTGGCGTTTTACTATTTTAAGTTTGGGTTTAATGTCACCTAATAATAAGTTATGACCTAAGGGGACATAGGCTCCAGGTAGTGTTTTAGTTATTTTGATTGAATTTCGGTAGCTCTCGTTAATTATTACATAATCGATCTGATTTCTTATGATCTTTCCTTTAGTATCTGCTGGTGACTTCCAAGTATATAAACGACGCTTGGGTAGATTAAAGAATTTATTTGTCACACAAAAATAGTTCTCTACGCAGAATTCTAGAAAACAGTCTCCTCTGCCATTACGTTGTCCAAGTCCAAAATTCTCTACAATGTTTCCTTGTCTACTTTTTCCTACTTTGGCATTAAAGGCCCTCATTATTATAGTAATGTCTTTGTTTTTCGGCTGACTCATTACCTTCTTTATACCATCATAAAAATTCTCTATGTCATCTTCACTTCTGCTGGCTGTGGGCGCATAAACTTGGACCAGATTTATATCTACTGGTTTAGAGTTTAATTGTATCACAATGACTCTGTCCGCAATGTAACTTACAGATTTAATACAGGAAGAGATTTCTTTATGTACAATGAACGCGACGCCATTCCGGTGGTTAGTGCCTTCTTCTCCGGAATAGAATCCATCGTGGTCGTCTATGTTACATTTACCAGTCCCTGGCCACCGCATTTCGCGTATCCCAACAACTGGTATATTATGCCTTATCATCTCACGTATGGTGTTTTGTTCACGTATCTTACCAGGCTTGTAAAGACTTCTCAGGTTCCATGTGCTTATTCTGATACCTGATTTTATTCTGATTTCGTTTCCTTTATCACAGGAATTTCGCTGGATAACTGTCTGGGAAGCCCTATGTGATTGTGTTCCCTTGCCGGATCTTGGTGTCCCATGACTATGATCAGTATATCTTTTCTTATCATATGATAGTCTCATTATGATTGAACTAGGGAATAATAATGGGGTAGTTTTCCGTTGCCTTCCCCATCGCAGTATCACAACCATTTAAACTGTTCCAGTCACGCTTGTAAAAGCCCAGTTTCAAGCCGATCCAGGATTAATTCCTCTACGCCTTGAGCGGGTACTGATGATCGCTGCTGCCCTCCATCACATATAGTGATTCTATATAATCCCTAAAATCAAGGGATTGATACTTCCGCCATCCACACTGTACCGAAGGAATTATTCTCCGACGTGGCTGCCGGTGTGGACTTCATTCGTGACCCTAAACAAGGGACCCTAAGCAGATACTAGTTCCTCGGGTCAGGACACACCTGGAATCTGCGGAGGGCAGGGATTGATTCATTTTCCCTGATAAGACTATCCAGAGGAGTTTCTATCCGCTATCATATCTTTTTAGGGGCATAGTGTTAACAATTTGATAAAAACTTAGACCTGTAACGGATGACCAATAGATCCAATAGGTAGCGTTTATGTATGTCTTCATTATTTTATTGGCAAAAAATTGTTTCTTTTTAGCAATGCTAACCGAAAATAAATGTTTTCCTGATTGAACCGCATAACGAATGGTTTCTGTAGTAATTAGCTCGAAAAATTCGTCAGGAAATACGTAGTTTCACATAGAAGGAATATGGCGTGTCTCCATTTATATTGACATAATAGTTACCTTCAAAAATTAGTGGATTGTTTATAAAGGCATTGTTATTTTCTGAATACCAGATTTCTGAACTCTGTATTGGTACAGGAAGTTCGGGTGGCGAACATCCTGTATAGCGTAAGTATGCGAAAACCATCAGCTAAAAATTACAAACGGGTTTTTTAAACACAAGGATATACACAAATATACATGGATTCAGGTAACCAGAAATTTAAAATCGATTATAGATTACGTGATTACAAAACAAAATACAACATTACACGTAATAGATACAAGAGTATATAGAGGAGTATCATGCGACTCGGATCACTTTATGGTAACGTCCGAAATAGTTTTTCCGTTTAGATTCAAGAAAACAAAAGAACCACCTGAAGACACAGAAATTTATAACACGACAAAGTACAATCTGGACAGCTTACAACATGAAAGTACGAGAATACTATATCAACGAAGACTAAATGAAAAATTAGAAGATATAATCCAAAATGTATCCGTGGAAGAAGTATATAAAAATATAATAGACAGTATACAAAAAGCCGCGAAAGAAGCGCTTGGTTTAAAATCCGAACGATACAGTAAAAAGCTATGGTGGACCGAAGACATAGAAAACCTAGTAATGGAGAAAAAGAAAGCGTACACACGGTGGCTAAGTACTAAACATCAAGTAGACAAAGACAAGTATTTGGACTTACGAAGAACAACAAGAAGAGCAGAAGAGAACAACAAAAAACAAAATGTGGGATAGGACATGCCAAGAGATCAACACTTACATGGGCGGAAGAAAGTGTTCAGAGACATGGAAACTTTTAAACAAAATAAAGAACACAGAAAGAAATACTACTTCTATCCAGTTAATACCAACAGAAAAATGAAAAGAACACTACGAGAGTTTGCTAACAGAAATTAGAGCAGAATATACCGCACAATCACCAACGGAAGTATCAGTTGACGGCGAAGAGATAGTAGTGGGAGTTGATATGCTGAAGAAAGCTGTAACTGAACTAAAAAATGGTAAAGCTCCAGGCCCAGAAAATATTCCAGCAGAATTAATAAAATGTGGCACAAATAAACTATTTCTAGCACTTACTTGGTGTATGAACAAATATATAAACGGTGTCACACCACCCAGTTTATGGAAAGTAGCTTATATTTCTTCCATCCATAAAAAAGGAGATAAGTTGGATTGCTCAAATTACAGAGGAATATCGGTAACTAGTACACTAAGCCGGATGTACAGACGCATTCTTAGAAATCTCATTGAGATGGAGTATAGGGAACAAGAAGAAGAAGAACAGGCTGGTTTCCGAGCTGGAAGAACTTGCACAGATAATGTCTTCTGCCTAAAACAATTAATTGAAAAAAAAATTAGCAACCATTCAAGAGACCCATCTCATGTTTGTTGATCTCCGTAAAGCATACGACAGCGTGCCTGTGACTAAATTGTGGAAATCACTACAAGAAACACTTAAATCACTAACATTAGCTACACTTTAATCAAAGCCTTAAAAAATCTATATGAAAATTCTACATCACAAGTAAAAATTGGCAAAACACTATATAAAAAGTTCATCGTTAACAAGGGTCTGCGCCAGGGCTGCTGTATTTCACCAACGTTGTTCAAGATATATATTGCAAAAGCACTAAACCAGTGGAAACGTAAATGTCACGGTATGGGTATAGACCTCGGAGATGTTTGTTTATATACCTTACAATTTGCTGATGACCAAGTCATCATAGCCAATGATAAAGACGATTTAGAGTATATGGCAAGAAAACTAAAGGAGGAATATGAACAGTGGGGATTGGAAATAAATGTAGAAAAAACTAAATACCTACCCATAGGAGGTGAGTTATCCAATATCGAACTAGAGAATAATGAAGAAATCACATCCTGTAGTGAATATAGGTACCTGGGAGTAATCTTCGATAGAACGGGAAAAGACGATGAGGAAATAAAGAAAAGGGTTACACAAGCTAGAAGAACAATTGGCTTCCTAAATGGAATACTTTGGAGCTCTGAAATAGGAATAAAGCGTAAATATAACATCTATGAGTCACTAATTAAAAGCAGTCTACTTTACGGAGCAGAAACTTGGAGAATAACCGAGAACAACAGAAAAACATTAGAAGCTGTAGAAATGGATATGTTTAGAAGATCGTTAGGTACATCCCGCAGGGAAAGAGTTCGAAATGAGGAAGTAAGACGAAGAATTGGAATAGATGGTTACTTAACAACAGACATTGAGAGGAAACAGTTGATTTGGTATGGTCATGTTCAAAGAATGGAAGACACAAGACTACCCAAGAAGATTATGCAGTGGGTACCACCAAACCGCAAAAAACGAGGAAGACCCAAAAAGACATGGAAAGAAGAGGTAACTAAAGCAATGAGTACAAGAGATCTTAGAGGCGGCCAATGGGATGATAGAAGGACGTAGAAGTTAGGCATCGGACAACGTCGAAAGACGTTCTAAAACCGATATATATATATATATATATATATATATATATATATATATATATATATATATATGTTCGGGTGGCACTGTTGGACCGGTTGGTCTCTTCTTACTCTATTTTTGTTGCCTGCATCTCATAGCCAGATGAATTGGCCTTCTAATTGGTCATTATTCTTAATTTCAATTTCCTTCAAATCTTGAATTGTTTGGAATTTTCACAGAGCTTAGAATGGTTACTCTCTCTGCAGAGAGAGTAACCATTCTAATTCTAAAAAATTTTTTTGCAATAAAATGATGAGATATGTATCTCTCTAAACATGGTGCCTTATACTAAAACGAACAAAAACAGAATTATTCTTAAATTTCTGCACCACGTACACAAATATAATATATGGTTACGTTCACGAAATTTACTCAACTCACCAAAATAATATTTTTGATTTTATTGTATATTAGATATTTATTCAGTACTCACCAATTTTTATCGCACAAAATTATATCGAATAGAAAAAATACAGTGTCTGTTATGCTTCTTATAACCTCAAAACACCGCCAAGGAGAGTCATGAATATAAAAATATGACGAGATACAAAACTCAATCGATTTTGATCTCTATTTTGGTGTAACTTGGGAGAAGGATTGTAGACATCCAAAACGGTTGCCACTACGCAGATAATAACCAAGTTCAAAGTATTATTACAATATTTTAAACGAAACGTAAACAAATGTGTTTATGTCCTTGAAGAGGATAATAAACTTTAAAAGAACTCATAATTTTTTTATTATTTTAGGTGCAGGAAGACTCTTAAACGAAATTATTACGTATTTTGACGCAATGGCTTCTAAGACTCAGTCGACGCCCAAGCTTGTAACATATAGTGCCCACGATACGAACATTGCGGCAATTTTAAATTCTTTAGGAGCTTTTGATACCCCTTACGTTCCAACATTTGCAAGTTCTCTATGGATGGAACTTAAAGAAGAATCGGGCAATTTTTATGTAAATATATACAGTAGAGATGGTTCGGATGATCTAAAACAAATCACAGTTAAAAATTGTAATGCAGATTGCCCACTTGATAAGTTTAAATTATCGTTAGCAGATATTGTGGTAGATTCTAAGAAATGGAATGAGATTTGTCCACCTGCATAAAAAACACAAACCTTATTAAAATAAACCTAAATTTTATCGTTTAAAAATTGGGTTGTATTGTTAACATTTGTGCCAGTATTCCAATACATTTATTTGTTAATCCTTGTAATGGTTTTAACTTTAAATAAAGATTAATGCAGACAACACAACTGATTCTTACTTTAGATTTTAATTATTTAATAACTAAATAATGTGATTAGAGCAAAAACAAAAATTAAACCAAGTAACTTTTTTGTCAATGAAATATTCAAGACAAACATTCATTGAAATATTTGAAAGAACAGGTACCATTTTCCCTTATAACTATAAACAGTTAACTACTAATTACTTTGAATACTCTATAAGAGTATTCTCATTATATAGCAACCAATCGACTCTAGATATAGTTGAATATCAACAAAGGAAGGTTCAAAATCAGGGTTTCGAAGATATCCCAGAAATCTCCTTGGACGAAATTTACGAGGCTCTAAAAAAGATGAAGAATAACAAAGCTCCGGGGGAGGACGGTGTTGTCACGGAAGCGATAAAGATAGAAGGCTCAGTACTGATAGCCAAAATTCAAAAGCTCTTTAATCTATGCCTATGGAATCAAAATATCCCAACAAAGTGGAATAATTCAATAACTGTACTCTTACACAAGAAGGGAGATATAGCATACCTAGAAAGATACAGACCAATCAGTCTCCTTAACCATCTTTATAAATTATACACCCGAATAATACCGAACAGATTAGAGACAAAGCTGGATTTTTACCAACCTCGGGAACAAGCTGGTTTTCGCCCTAATTACGGCACAAACGATCACCTGCAATGCCTAAAAACCCTAATAGAAAAAACCAACGAATATAACCGTCCCTTGGCATTGATATTTGTAGACTTTAAAAAGGCGTTTGATACAGTGGAACTACCGTCCATCTTAAGAGCACTACAAGATTGCAGGGTCGACCACAGATATTGTATTATAGTCAAAAATATATATAAAAATGACACAACAACCATAAGTCTACATTCTGCAACTAATAAAATAAAGATAAAAAGGGGAGTCAGGCAAGGTGATACCATGTCACCAAAGCTGTTCATTACCGTTCTTGAGTATGCATTTAAAAAACTAACATGGCAAGAGAAAGGAATATCCATCGATGGAGAAAGATTAAACCATCTACGTTTTGCGGACGATATTGTGCTTCTGTCAGATAATCTGGGAGAGATCAAAGATATGCTCCAAGAATTAAATGACATACTACAAGAAACTGGGCTCAAGATAAATTTCGAGAAAACCAAAATGATGACCAATATGGTTCCCAGCGAAGAGATACAGATTAATAACAACAAGGTCGAATTAATCGATAAATACACATACTTGGGTCATGAAATTAGAATAACCAGAGACAACCAAACCTGCGAGCTAAATAGACGAATCACGTTGGCATGGGCGGCATATGGAAGGATGAGAGTCATTTTAAAACAAATATCCCAATTCACCTGAAAAGAAAGGCATTTAACCAATGCATCTTACCAGTCTTGACCTATGGAGCAGAGACCCTAACTTTAACGAAAGCTACTGCCGAAAAACTGAGGGTAACACAAAGGCAAATGGAGAGATCAATGCTGGGCCTGACCTTGAAAGATCGCGTGAAAAATGAAGAGATACCGACGAACTGGCATAGACGATATTATACTGCGAATCAATAAACAAAAGTGGAGGTGGGCTGGACATGTTGCTAGAATGGAAGACGGAAGATGGACGAAGAGATTATTGGAGTGGAGACCAAGAGCCGACAAGCGAAGTCGAGGCAGACCACCCACCCGATGGACCGACGACCTAAGGAGAATAGAAACAAACTGGATTGCAGCAGCTTAAGATAGAGAGAACTGAAAACGTTTGGAGGAGGCCTCTATCCAACAATAAATGTGTGAATGGGGCTGGATGATGATGATGATGATGATGACTCTATAAGAATTGTTTACAAACAATTCCAAAGGTCTAATAGAGCTAAACCGGATCTCGATTCAATTGTATGTACAAAAAGGGTGTACATATGTGTATCAGATGTCCTGCCCATCTGTCTATTGGCCTTTATATATATCTGACTAGATTTTCTTTTCCGAATAGAAACTCTAGCTTGTTATTGTATCTGCCCCTCCATTCGTTTGTCACGCTGTCTCTGCAAGGGCCATATATCATTCGAAGAATTTTACGTTCCATACCAGCAATTTATTTACTTCTCTTTTTGTTATCGTCCATGTTTCGCTTCCATATGCGACTGTTGGTCGTATTACGGTCTTATATATCCGGATCTTTGCACCTCGTGAAAGAAGTTTTGACTTCATCAGATGTTGCATTGCAAAGAAAGATCTATGTACTGCCATTATTCTCGTTTCAACTTCTCGCTCTAATTTGTTGTCATTTGTGATTGTTGCTTCTAAATATTTTAATTCTTTGACCACTTCAAAGTTGTGATCATTTATAGTAATGTTTTATACAAAAAAATTTTATTTCTCGGTTTTAACTTAATGTTTCTTAGCAACTAAGTAACTTCTCATTTAGAAGTTAATATTTTTGTATCAAAATTCACGAATTATTGACGCTGTTTGGATGAGGTAATTGTCGGTCTATTGTAGCAACATCCTGTACTAAAATATAAACTATAAAATTACTAAATTACATTTAGTTCCAGAACAAAAGTTCTTTTTTATTTATATGATCACAAAATAAACAAAAATTATGATAACACAATGTCGATTTACTTGGGAATTAAATTTGACTTACTAAATTAAAGTTTTGAACGCTAGTAACTTAATATTATTTGTGGTATGGTAAAATATTTAGTGTGTGTAGGTGTACAAAAAATGTTAATTTTAAAGAACATTGTGATATTGTTTTGTATATTTGTCGCAGTAACTTCCGAAGAAAATGTAACTATTGACTGCAGTAATTTGGTAGCTTTGGTTCAAGTAAGTAAAACTATATTTTTAGCCATAACTGGTTGTATGGGAAAGTAAAATTGTTGCTTCTAGAAAAATTTTCTGAACAATTTAATCATATTTTCTTACTTTTTAAATCTTACTTGGATTTCTAAAAATAATTTCAAAATCAAAATTAGCCCAATCGATTCAATCGTTCTAGAGTTCATATATAGATTAAATAATTTTAATAACTCGATAATAAATCACTTTTATAAACTACATTTTAACTAGCAAAATTTTTAGCAATAAGCAAATAGGGGGCATTTTAGTGTTCTATTGTTCCTTATTGTACCTGTACCAAAAATCTCATTTAGTAGATATATGGATGAGAGGACGTTATCAAAAAAAGGTAGAATCTCGTTTTTGGCCAGCGTGATTGAAGTACATCTGCATAAGACAAAACAACCGTAGAACCAAGTTTTGTATGAGGCTGGTATTTGCACTAAGCTGCCTTGATACAGTGTCATCATCATCAATCAGCCAATCGCGTCCACTGCTGGACATAGGCCTCCCTCAGTTCTTTTCAGTGTTCTCTACACTGGGCCGCTTGTAGCCAGTTTCCCGCTACACGTTTAATGTCATCGGTCCATCTAGTCGGTGGTCGTCCTCGGCTTCTTTTATAATTTCTGGGCCTCCATTTCCATAATACGTCTTGTCCACCGTCCATCTTGTGTTCAAGCTAAGTGCCCTGCCCAGTTCCACTTAAGCGTCGTGGTTCTTTCGATGACTTCTTGAACTCCTGATCTTCGCCTGATTTGTTGGTTTGTTATGTGGTCTCGAAGGCTCACGTTCAGCATTGCACGTTCCATGGCTCGTTGTGTAACTCTAAGTTTATTCGCAGATTTTTGCGTGAGTGTTAAAGTCTCTGCTCCATAAGTTTGTACAGGTAAAACACATTGGTTATAAACCTTTCGCTTGAGACACATGGGAATTGAACTTTTTAGAATATGGCTCAATTTGCCAAATGCTGCCCATGTTAGACCTATTCGCCTCTGTATTTCATGTGTTTGATTGTCTCTGCTTATTTTGATTTCGTGTCCCAGATATTTGTAAGTGTCTGTTTTTTGTATGGTATTATTGTCAATAGTTATATTTCCACTTATTACGAGATTTGTTATAATTTTAGTTTTCTCAAAGTTTATCTTTAATCCTGCTCTTTCAGACAGACTTTTAAGCGAATGCATCATAGAAACTGTATCATGTAAGTTATCTGCGATTAATACAACATCATCTGCAAACCTTAGGTGATTTAATCTTTCTCCATCTATATTGATGCCCATATCTTGCCATTGAGTACCCTTAAATATTGACTCTAGAGCTGCCGTGAACAATTTTGGTGAAATATTGTCTCCTTGTCTAACTTCTCGACCTAAGCTGAATTTTTCTGTGTCTTCGTGCAGTCGTATACTTGATGTAGCGTTCTGATAGATGTTTTTGATTAGTGTCGTGTACCTGTAATCTATTCGGCTTTGATTTAGGGCTTCCAGTATTGTTTCAAACTCTACAGAATCAAAAGCCTTCTCGTAATCGACAAATGCAAGAACCAGTGGTATGTTGTACTCGATGCACTTTTCTATTAAGATCTTTATGGTATGCAAATGGTCATTCGTGCCATATCCTGCCCTGAAGCCTGCCTGTTCTTTGGGCTGATAGAAATCAAGTTTAGGTGTTAGCCTCTTTGTTAAAATTTTCATAAAGAGTTTGTACATATGTGTCAAGAGGCTGATGGGTCTATAATTTTCTAATTTAGTAATATCGCCTTTTTGTGTAACGAGACTATTACTGCATTGTTCCAGTCTTTTGGAATAGTACGCGCATGTAAGCATTTATTAAACAGTTCTCTTACTGATTTTAATAAAATTTCTCCTCCTGCTTTTATTTCCTCGATAACAAGTCCATCATCACCAGGCGATCGATGGTTCTTCATTTCCTTTAAAGCTGCTCTTACTTCTGACACAGTAATGTAAAATCGGTAAAAGTATTTCCGATCCCTGATTTATGAGAGTCTTTACTCGTGTCGGGAAATAGTCTTGTGGTCTTTGGCTGGTATAGAGGTCTTTATAAAACTCTCTGGTTATTTTCATAATGTTTTGTTTATCTGTTGTTGCCTTCCCGTCTTTATCTCTCAGCTTGTATATTTCTTTTTTACTTTGTGTGAGTTTTCTATTCATTATCTTTAAAACTTTGTTCTCTTCTATTGTTTGAGTAATTACATTAGTATTACATCTTCTTACATCTTTTTTAATTTTCGCTGAAATTCTTTTATTTAGTTTTTTATATTCTTCTTTGTTTCCCTTTTTGTTCTCGCTTAGGTTTCGTTGTATTTCCATGAGAACTTTTGTATTTTTGCTAATCTTTTCACTTTTGGTGTCATTTTTCTTGCAAAATTTGAGTTGTGCGTTTTTAGCCGAGTCTGTTATTAATTTATTGTGATCGTCGATGCTTGGAGGTTTGGGATTATTATTTTGTAAAGTTTTGGCTATACTTTTTATGTATGCTTCTGGATGATTTGGTGAATACCAAACTATGCGTTTGCAATTTTTTATCATCTTTGCTCTTTCTTTTTGTAGATTTATCGTTACTCTAGCTCTTACTGGTCTGTGATCACTTCCTACTGATAGTTTATTTAGTACAGTGACATCTTGAATAATTTGCTTTTTGTCTGTTATTATATAATCATATTCGCTTTTAGTTCTTCCGTCTGGACTAGCCCACGTCCATTTTCTATTCTGTTTCTTCTTTTTTCTAATCTCGTAATAAGTGGAAATATAACTATTGACAATAATACCATACAACAAACAGACACTTACAAATATCTGGGACACGAAATTAAAATAAGCAGAGACAATCAAATACATGAAATGCAGAGGCAAATAGGCCTAACATTGGCAGCATTTGGCAAATTAAGCCATAACACTTACGCAAAAATCTGCGAATAAACTTAGAGTTACACAACGAGCCACGGAACACGCAATGCTGAACGTGAGCCTTCGAGACCACATAACAAACCAACAATTCAGGCAAAGATCAGAAGTTCAAGACGTCAGCGAAAGAACCACGACGCTTAAATAAAACTGGACAGGGCACTTAGCCAGAACACAAGATGGACGGTGGACTAGACGTGTTATGGAATGGAGGCCCAGAAACTATAAAAGTAGCCAAGGACGACCACCGACTAGATGGACCGATGATATAAAACGTGTAGCGGGAAACTGGCTACAAGCGTCCCAGTGTAAAGAAAACTGGAAAGAACTGAGGGAGGCCTATGTCCAGCAGTGGACGTGATTGGCTGATTGATGATGATAATGATAGTATTTTATAGACATTTAAAAAAGTTTTAGTATCTACAATCTAAAACATTGATTTTAAATGATAATTGATAACTGATAAAGTAAATATCTTTCTTAAGATACGTCGTTGTAATAATGGCTATGTTGCCAGGTCTCTGTATAATTTATTTCTCCAAAAATTATCCTTGAATTACTTTAAAGTAAATAAGTGAGTTTAGTTTAAGGATTATATTATTTTACTTATTTATACATATCTAAATACATAACTAACAATGAATAAAAAAACCATATCAAATAGTTTTCTTTATCTTATTCATTTAAAATTATTGTTATATACATATACAATAGCACCACAGGCCTTGGAGGCCATGGCTTAAAAATGTAGTTCTTCTTCATTTTCGCTTTCCTTTATGTACTGAGATCTTCTCTGGCTCGATATGTGACTTAAACTGACTACGGTTGGATGATTACAATTTTTATGTTTTAGATTATTAGGCATGGGGAAAGAACACCAACAAATTTTTACAAAAATGACCCATACAAAAATGCATCTTATTGGGATGCACCTAACGGAGAGCTTACACATGTATGTATATTTTTTCTATAAATTTTGTGATAACGTATAAATCATTACGTATAAATCATAAACATCATCATTATCATCATCATCATCATCATCATCATCATCATCATCATGATCATCATCATCATGATCATCATCATCATGATCATCAGTGTTGAGTGACTGGGAGTAGGTAGATTGAGACCCCGAACTCGAACATATCTCTCTTTATAATGGCTCCAATGATAATGACTTTTATTGTTGTTGCCTGCATAGAAGACCTAGTAATCTTGTTCTTGAATTTGACTAGTCATTTTACTAGTCGGTAAGTTAGTCAAGAGGGCGAGTGACGAAAGAATCGCGAAAGGATCTAGTGATCAATGATTCAAACCATGGTGATCGATGATGGCCAGAAAACAAAAAGGCTAACGTGGCAATTTAACATTCAAATGGATCTGCTATACTGGATCTGGACTAAATAGGCTGCTGTACCAAATCGACCTATGGATGGGCATGGACATTACGGCAAGTTATGGAGCTGTTGTCTCTGTGATACTCTTTCATACCTACCTACCGAACAAAACAAGTACCCTTAAAAGAGCGAAATATAAATTAATTGCAATAATTACTATTATTTTGAATTGTAACATTTTTATTTCTCTGCAATTTTCTCTGACTAAGTTAAAATCGTTTATAATAGTAAAAATATTTTATGCACTATTTTAGCAAGGAATGCGTGAAGCTGAAGAAATTGGGCAATTTACAAAGAGACGATACGCTAACTTTTTTCCTAAAAAATACGATAATAATTTTGTTTATGCCCTGACAACTAATGTAGATAGAGCCCATATGTCAGGTCAGTGTTTCCTATACGGTCTTTACCCGGCTTCAGATAAAGACATTTGGAAAGAAGGTGTTAATTGGCAACCGATTCCTCTGCATCAAGCTAATCCAAGGATATTTCACAATCATCCTTACAATTGTCCTATGTACATTACAGCTTTAGGTACAGTATATAGCCGAAATGCTGAAGTATATGATCCACTTTTTGAGAAGTATAAAGCTGCGTTTCAATATATGAGAGAAAAGACAGGTGATCCAATTAACAACTTTCTAAAGGTTTTGACTCTTCATGACAGTCTTTACGTTGAAGAAAAGAATGGCTATAAATTACAAGACTGGACAGAAGAAATATATCCTGAACCAATGAGGACAATGGCAGCTATTGGTTACAAATCTTTAACTGAAGACATTCAACTTAAACAATTTTGTAAGTATTAAATTTTGTTTTTGCAGTATTATGTAAATATTTTTGATACCAAGATGTTTTCTGAAGCAATTTTCTTGTATAGTTACTATGTTGCTATTAATAAGTCCTCACAGACACTTCGTCTAACGACCAGCAACCTCCAGTGGAGTCTTACGTTGCTATGTAATCTATTTTTGTTGTAACTTAGACATTATAGTTTATAAATCTAAAAAAATGTAAGTCAATGTTCATCTATCAACATTTAAAAGGTTCTTAGCCATATATTCAGTGGTGATGTAGCCAGATAGGGTTTTTAATATTATAATTTTTATAAAGAAATTTTTAATTAAATTTTTGTGATACATGGTATACAGCCAACTACCGGAATTTAGTTTCCTTGTGGAAAAAAACTTAGTTATAGGCTAATAAAAGTTTAATTTTCATCCCGTAAGGTATCTGTAGACGCGATAGAACAAGCAGCAAAACTGAAATGGAAATGGGCTGGACACAATGAACGTCTCCAAGACGGACGATGGAACAATGCCATCGGAAAGTGGCGTTCATACAATGTAAAGAGATCAAGAGGCAGACCACAGATGAGGTGGAAAGATGACATCAGGAAACAAGGAGGTCCCACATAGCAGAGAACAGCTCAAGATAGGGAAAGATGGAGAGAACTGGGGGAGACCTATATCCAACAATGGAAGGATAGAGAATAGGTTCAAAAAAAAGGTATCTATAACTTTTTTTTTCTGTTTTAGATTGTGGAACTTTACTTACCGACATAGTGAGATATTTACATAGAGCAGCTACAAAAAAACCGCACACTCCAAAATACCGATTTTACAGCGGTCACGATACCACCTTGGTAGCACTATTAAATTCCTTTAGTGCATTTGATCCGCCTATCAAGCCAGAATTTTCGAGTTCCCTTTACATAGAATTACGCCAGAAAACAACAAAGGGGCATTTCGTAAATGTTTACTTTAAAAACGGAAACAAAATTACACCAATAAAAGTGAATAACTGTAAAAAGAATTGTCCCTTTAAAGAGTTTAAAGCAGCTCTACAAGATATTATGATAGATGTTAAGAGATTAAAGGAAATGTGTGGATATTTATCACAGGCAGAATTTCAAGCCACTTTGCATAAATTGTTTTCTAATGATCCTGCTCCAACATAATTTCAAATAAAGTATTAAATATTAAGAAATTGTTTTATTTTAGTTATTAAGCATATTATGAGCACTTCTTGCTGAGAGGCGATAAAAGGGATTAAGACAAAAAATTACAATAGTAAAAGCAACTTGAAGTACGTAAAGACGATTTAGAAATAACTGAGATTTTTTCCTGTCACCTCTCATTGCTTTTTATTGATTAAAAAAACTCAAGAAATAATATTATTTCAGGAAGTTAGTATATTAGTATAGACTCATTTCTGTATATTTTATTTATTACAAGACAAACTAATACTAATACATAATATCTCTAATAAGCCATAAGACCAGTCTGTCGACTGTCAATCTCTGTCCTTCTCTTTCACTCCCGGACTTCTTCTTCTATTTGACATATCACTAATATTAAGGTAGGTTTACAAATATTAAGGTAGATTTATAACTTGTAACGGCTAGCTCATCCATTGCACCTTGAAACCCCTTAGGGGTGTTGTTCGGCATAAACTTATTTAATTTGAGAAATCGGGAATTATTAATAAAATAATTTTTCAACACATATCTTTATTAATTTATATTATAAGTATAATCAAATTAAACAATTAAAATTGAGGTTCTAGAAACAGGGAATTAAGCATCTATATACAAAATTCAAAGAAAGAAAGAACTTAGCTTAACTCTATGAGAAATCCTCCTGTTGCTCTCTTCTCAACTCGAACCATAAACTATTTGCAAAACACCATGCCTCTAAGCCAAGGGATTTTCTTATTCCAAAAACAAGGTCAACGTAGATTTTCTTATATTATAACCAAGGTGAACGTGGCTGGAAAAACAAAAACCGATATAAAATTCGTCATGGCACGAGTTTTGTCCAACAACAGAAGAATTCTGGTACGCGAAAACTTCTTCTCTATAAGAACTGTATACCGATCCAGTACTCTCTGATGTTGCCAAAACTCACAAATTAATAACTGCAATCAATAGATAAATTATTAAATGAAAAACGAAAACAACAAAGTTGTGCGATTAATACTAGTGATTTATATTGAATTATTATTATTACAGCAAAGGTAAAAAGAAAATAAAAATTGTAAGCAGCTTTTAAGTACTAGCGTACACAAAATTGTACGGAAAACTAACAGTGCTAATGTTTTTGATTAATTTATAAAAATATGTTGTGAAAATAACAAAGTATTAACTTACCCAGACCTTTGGTCTGACCACGAGGACTTATTTTTTAGTACCTTGTCGTTTGATGGTTTATTTTAAAAATAAATTAAATCGGATCGGATCGATAGAAGTAAATTATTTAGTGGTGGGGTTTCTGTTTTCTTGTATGATAAAGTAAGCGAAGGTATAACTACGAGGGGACTTAAGAAATTAATCGGTGAATTTATTTGTAATAGATTGAAATAAAATATAGGAATACAAACAAAGGAAAAAGAAGTTATTATCAACGAAAATCAAATAGTATGAGCAGAAAATAATGGAAAGTACTTTGAAATTAATAAGAACAAAAATGTAATGCTTTAAACGTTACAAACTTAACAAAACATAACATATATCTTTTATACTTTCAGACTATATGCTCAGGAGTTGTTTTGACTACAATCAAGACCACATCTACTTATCCAAAAGTTATTTTATAGTCCAGAAATTGGAAAATTCAATATTAGTCGACTAAAACACCTATTAATAAAGAAAAAAATGTAAAGGGCCTAAAAAAGAACCGTATGTAACTAAAACACAAGATTCGTACCATAATTACAAAATAATTACTGGGAACGCTTTCCGAAAGAAATGGATAATGATTTTTATGGTCTGGAAAAGGAAATATGGCGAAATAAGTTTTGTTATACTTATCATCATCAATGGCACTACAACTCGTGCAGCAGTGCACTCTGTCGCACTCCCATCTTCTCTAGATCTTCTCTGACTGCATCTTTTCACCTTTTTCTAGGCCGCCCTACAGACCTTCTTCCATCTGGCCTTTCCCAGAACACATTGTTTATAAGGCGATTGTCGTTACTGCGTATCACATGTCCTGCCCATCTGAGTCTATTGGCCTTTATATATCTGACTAGATTTTCTTTTCCGAATAGAGTCTCTAGCTCGTTATTGTATCTGCCCCTCCATTCGTTTGTCACTTTGTCTCTGCAAGGGCCATATATCATTCGAAGAATTTTACGTTCCCATACCACCAATTTATTTACTTCTCTTTTTGTTATCGTCCATGTTTCGCTTCCATACGCGACTGTTGGTCGTATTATGGTCGTATTTCGTTATACTTTTTGTTCGTATTTTTGAGGGCATAGTTGATGGTGAGGTTTATCTAAATTTTTTGATTAACTTTTTAGTGCCTACATTACAAAGATTTTGTCCTAATGTTAATTATCCAAATGAGATAGATCGATCTATTTACTACCAACAAGATGGAGCTTCACCGCAATTTTCACTTATAATTAGAAATTATTTAAACAAGGCTTTTCCCAGTAGGTGGATTGGAAGACGTGGAACGATCGAATGGCAGGCTATATCACCCGATTTGACTCCTCTCGATTACTTCTTATGAGGTTATTTAAAATCTAAGTATATTTTATTAGACCAAACAGTATTGCTGATTGAAAAGTTAGGATAACGAAAGAAATTAACAAAATAACTACCGGAGTCGTACAAAATGTTGTACGAGAATTCCAAAATCGCCTCGGTTATTGTCAAGAAGTGAATAGTGGTCATTTTGAACATTTAATTTAATTGTAAAGTACATTAAAAATACATTCTAAATATTATGTGACATTATTATCTTCATTCAACCTAAGTTTTGTGATAGAGACATTATCAAAATTTTACATTTTAAAAATCAATTTTCTCAGTTATGATTGCACCAAACTTAAAAAACTTTATATTGCTGAACAGAGGACTAAAATCCCTTTCTAACAAGGTGCCATACGACCCCCTTTGTTATTTAAAATTTTCGAGGGGTGCTTATAATTCAAAGGGGTGCTGGAGTGGTATAATATTTTCATACTGTAAATTGTCAATTTAAGAATAAAAATCGACGTGTTTCAGGTTTTTTCACATAGTACTTAATAACGCTAAAAATGAATTTATTTTATACATATGGACCGCATGGCATGTTGCATTTGTATGCTCGTACGCTATACAACTATATTTACCGAATTAAAAAAAAACATTATTTAATGCGTGATAAATTATTATTTTCAAAATTTTATCGATTTAAATTCAATTAATTTTAAACTTCTAGCCTTATTATTTATATTAGAATCTATCTACATATAGAGAATTAGAGGAAATTAATCTTTTGATATAAATTTTTTTCCAAACATACTTTAAGGCCAACATTCTAATTTTTGATATCGTAATATCAGGTCCAAATAATCCTGTATTGATTATTTGAGATTAAAATGTCAATTCGTATTTAGTTTTACATTTTTTTAGATAAGTGAATATGAAAAAGACTAAGCTGAGAGAGGTTTCCAATTCCTAGTCATTAAAAAGCTATAAATCAATTTCTAGGTAAATCATTATAAAACACGTACATAATTTTAAAATTTTAAGTGTTTATCATGTCGTTGCCAGTAAATATTATCGTGGTACTCTGTGTAATATTCACAATTATTGAAAATGATGCAGCTAGTGATTCCAGTCAACTAGTAGCTCTTGTACAGGTAAATGGAAACATGCATTTTAATTATTACAGCCTTTTTAATAAGTATTAAATTATTTTTGTACGATCAACACCACCAAAAAGAGAAGATTTTACACAAGAAGATATAATTCATGTTACGGAACCCCTACAGATAATACACTATACATATATATCTCTCTATGCAGTCCTGTCCTTCCAGAGGGAATGTACTAGTCATCTTGATGTCGTGAATTTTCCGTGTCCAAAAATCTCTGTATCTGGTCATTTCTTTTAACTCATGAATAGGTATTGTTCATATTTCTTCATCTTGTTGGTGATCTTTCTCGTGATCTGAAACCGTGAGACACATCACAGAACTTTCTGTGAAACTTGAAGAAAAGGCGCAAGAAATTGAACTGTCATTAACGTAGATGTAAGCTGAAGTTCTAATGCAACAAGAAAACAAAATACCTTGCAAAATTTGACAATGGAATTCGTCAATATTGAAGTTGTGAAACAGTTAACATTTCTGGCGTACTTCTTCAAGTGCCGTCTTCGTTCCGAAGTTTGGCTATCATCAAAGCTATGCGTATTTTTGATGCTGCAGATCTAAACAGTTGGTAATTGGTGCAATTGTACCATTCTCTCAAGTTTTTCAACCATGAATGCCTTCTTCCTCCTATAGATCTCTTTCCCATTATCTTTCCCTGTATAATCAATTGCAGCAACTGGTATTTATCTCCCCTCATAACATGTCCCAAATATTGTAGTTTGCGCTTTTTAACAGTAAGTATCAGCTCTTTCTCTTTCCGCACTCTCCGCAAAACCTCCACATTTGTTACTTTCTCTGTCCAGGGTATTCTTAATATTCTACGATACATCTGGGCGTACAGAAACAGGAAAGCAGCGAGGCCAAGGAAACACGGAAAGAAATAAGGTATCAGAGCATATTTATCTCTATCGTAGGTAATTGGATCCAATAAAATGCATAGGGACATGTAGTTTAAAATGTATAAAACCATCATACAACCAAAAGGTACATGTGGCGCAGAAACATGGATTATGAAGGAAAAAACATGAAACTTTATTAGTACTTTTTAATAGTCATAGGTCGCAGGTATTAGTACTTTTTAGTAGTCATAGATCGTGGTTTTCTGGATCTCTTTTGGAGATGTTACTTTTTAACTTTTTTGAAGGACCACCCAGAAATCTGGGATAATTGAAAGTTTCGCAAATATCGTTTTAACAAGTCTATTTAAACAATTACAACTAAGTATTTTTGACACCGCTTAAGTTTATATTTAAATATAAATGTTCAAAAGACCAAATATATGTGTTGCACTAGGTCAAGCAACCCGACACCTACACAATAATAATTGATGACCTAGAACTGGAAGGTGTTGACACCTTCATATACTTAGGGTCGCTGCTAACCAAAGATAACAACGTCAGTGAAGAAATCAAAAGAAGAATAGTGCTCGCCAATAAGTGTTACTATGGCTTAAGAAGACAGATGGCCTCAAAAATGCCTAGAAAAATTAAACTGACTGTATACAAAACACTAATAAGACCAGTGCTAACATATGGTTCAGAAACTTGGACACTAACACAGAATGACCAAGAATTGCTCAAACGTTTTGAGCGAAAAATACTAAGACGAATATATGGAGGCATAAAAGAACAAGTGTTGTGGCGCAGGTGTTACAATTTTGAGTTGTATAGAAGATTTGGAGAACCTGACGTTGTAAAATTCATTAAGGTAGCACGCCTCAGATGAATAGGTCATGTAATCAGACGAGAGGAAGATGCCATAGTCAGAAAAGTTTTTGACCGAAGAGGGCCGATCGGACAACGAAGAAGAGGAAGACCGAGACTTAGGTACCAAGACAACCTAGAAAATGATTTGAAGTCTATCGGAATTAGAGCATGGAGAAGAGTTGCCAGAGACAGGGGCAAATGGAGGATTGTTCTGAAGAAGGCTTTGGCTTATAAAGAGCTGTAACGCCTCTGATGATGATGATGAACTTGCTTAAGTGAGGCTAGCGCAAACAGGAGCTTCGAGCTCACCCAATGCTGGATTCAAACTGATCTCAACTCGCCCTCTTGAATAACGCTGGACCCATGATGGTTTCTTAAAATTATGAAGTCTCCCCTTTGACCCTCGACGTATATGAAGGATCTGTTTACATTTCGCAACCTTTAACTCTCCTTTCATTGATAAAATTATCTGAGTAGGTCGATCTTCTTCTTCTTTGGGTACCGTGCCTAAGTCTTAGGCGTGGGTAGCTTCCACGACGATTTGCCGATATCGTTCTCGATATTGCTCGGCATGTAATAATTTATCTGTTGATAAGCCAGTCCATTGACGAAGGTTTCGGAGCCATGAGTATTTGTTTCTACCAATTCCTCTTCTTCCGTCGATCTTTCCGTTGAGTATCAACTGCATTATCCTGTATCTGCTTCCTCCCATTATATTCGCCCCAGATATTCGAGTTTTCTCTTTTTTATCATCTTTATTAAGTCACCTTCACCTTGACCTACTCTGTTCAAGACTTCTCTGTTTGAAATGTGTTAAACCCATGATATTCTGAGCGTTCTACGATATAACCTCATCTCAAAGGCTTTTAATTTGTTCATCATGTTAAACTTCATAATCCAGGTTTCACATCCATACAGTAATACAGGATACACATAACATTTTAAGAACTTAACTCTCGGCTGTAAGTTCAGCTGAAAATTGCTCAGAATAGATCTAAGTTTTATAAATGCTGCTCTTGCAATTTCTATACGAGTTTTAACTTCTTCATTCGGATTGAATGAAGAAGTTAAAACATTTATTCAACATCCTAGATATTTAATATAGTTAACTTTTGTTATCGGTTCATTATTGACAATTAGTTGTATAGCGCCGAGGTCTTGTTTACTAACCACAAGTAAGTTTGTCTTTGTTTTATTTATGTTGTCCGTTATTAGAGATTTCTCTAGTGACTCGATCTATATGGAATTAAAGATGTTCGATACTTTCAGCCACGATTGCGGTTGTCAGCTGCATATCTGGTGTTACTAAGAGTTTTTCCCCCGATTCTAACTCCACATTGCCCTTCCCAGGCTTTGTTAAAAATTATTTCTGAGTAAACGTTAAACAAAGTTGGGGACAACACACAGCCCTGTGTAACACCTCTTTCAACACAATTTTTGTCTGTTTGCAGTTTACCAAAATAAAATCTTTTTGATTCCAATATAGATGTAAAAGTTTCATATCTTTATCATCTAGGATGATCGATATCCTATCGTTTCCTATAGGGTAGGTCGATAGGAAACATTATTTCTCAACTTGCGTTGCTGTTGGGATTTTTCGGATGAGACAACTGATAATTTTAAAATTACTAATAATCGTTTTATTGTTATGATTTTTTGACAACTTTAGAAGCTTATATTTAGAAAGTTCTTTTGAATACAAGCTATCGGCTCTCGTACATATTATTAAATGGTGCAAAAGAATTTTACAAATCTAATCCTTAAAACTAATATACAATGTGATATGAGAATATGATACAAAATGGAACAAAAATATTTTATGTTGTTGTTATGCAATAATTATAACAATATTATAAAGAACCCTATATAGCAAATTATGCAAAAATACAAAAATTACGGTGGACAGGATACCTTATAAAATGGAAGAGAACACCTAGTAAAACGTTTAGTGAAACTACGGTGGGACCTATGTCAGCCAGTGAAAAGATCAAGAAAGAGGTGAAAACCGAGGCTGCAAAGCATTAAAGGTGGATGACTGGAGAGCAGCCGAGAAAAGGGATGCTTGGAGGCGGATGCTGTAGGAGACTAGAATCGGACTTAGGCTATGGCGCCATTTAAAAGAGAGACAGAATTTTAAATCATCTAATCATATTTATTTTATCTTTTAATATGTCTATTTTTAGATATTTAGGCATGGAGAGAGATCGCCCATCACATTTTACTCAACTGATCCATATGCAAATGCTTCCTACTGGGAAGATCTTGGCGGTGAGCTAACTAACGTAAGTACCAATATTTGTCATTTGTATTAAAGATTATCATAACACAGTTTAAAAAACTACTAAAAATTATCTGAAATATTTTAAAAGTACTTTAATAATCATTAAATATTATAAATAATTAACAAGAGTGCGGTAATAAAAAAACGATTTAATGAAAAGGAATGCTAGACCAAAATTAAAACAAACATTTTACAAGAAATAACATAAATTAAGGACAAAAAGTAAAATTTTCACCAAAAATAATATTATACGCCATGCTGACCTCTAATAACACTGGTTTGTAAAAAATGTTTCCTCCTTTTTGTTTCTATGCATAATCGTGTTATGTTTGATGCTCTAAATGTAAAATTTACTGTAAGAATAAGTACAGCACATATATTTTTCATATATAATCATCATTTATTCTTTTTTTCTTCGGTCATTTTCCATTATAAGTTCACGTTTTTGTCCTTCACAGTACTTTATTTTCACAGACATCTTCTCTGAGGTCTCTATCTATCATACCACTTTCTATGTATATTTTCCATCTTGTAGCAAATTTTCTTCTCCGTTTTATTCCCGACGGGTCCCATCCCAGACTCCCAGTCTGATTGACTAACTTGAGCCCATTGAACATTAACCCCAGACGGAAGTGACTCAAGTTGGTCATTCAGAATTATCTCTATATTTTTTAATTTGTTAAATTCCATAGATTTATAATAAAAATAGTTTAAGGGCTTTATTTTGAATGTGTGAAGAATTTGAAATTCGTCATTAAAAATGTGATTATGATCTAGAAGGAAAAGTTCGTATGTAGAATCTGTTTTTCTATTATTTAAAGCTCTCTTATGTTCTGCTACACGTTTGTTAAAAGTTCTACCAGTTTGACCTATGTAAGTTTTTCTGCAGTCGCCACATTTCTTTCTTTTTTATGTATTATGTTTTGGTTTGTTATGTTTTTGTGGCTATTTTTGTTGATATCTTGCCTGTATTTGTAATTGAGCAGAAGGTACTGGGTTTTTTCTCTTTTAGTAAAAATACTAACTCCAGGGCTTTCTTATGTATAAAATATTATATCAAAAACTACACTTTCAGATCAGCTCATAAACTCTAAGGGTATTGAGAATATTTTATTTTTTTAAGTGATATTCCCAAATTTGTAAAATTGTCTTTAATTGGTTGTTGCATGCGCTAGTGGCCCTAAAGAGTATTTACTTCCTTTGTGAATTAAGATGGCTTTTAAAATAACCATGAATAAAAAGTCTCTATTCTTCATATTCGTTTGGGAAATAAAGTTCTTGAAGAAGCCCTGCAGTATCATTACAATACATCAAATCATCCTGTTTGGAAACTTATCTCGTGAAAATGTTTTGCATTGTGCAATAATATGAGATTCTCGTATTTTGTCTAAAAAATTCCTTTAGAATAGCCCCCTAGCTTTTAGATTTTCATAGCCCTAATTATCTAACAGAATTATTCAAATCAGATTAGAGAGTAATGTTTATGTGAAGGACTTAAAAAATTAGATAAAGTGTACAAAGATGAAGAAGTACAGTTATAAACGAAACTAGATTGAGTTTGTATTACGTTCGTTTAACTCAGCTGACTCTATAGTTTGTGGCGTGCACAAGTATTCGGTTGTCAGCTAGAAGTGTGAACGGCGAGGTAACTTCAGTAGCAGAAAGTGGACTTCTTTCACTATCATTGATCACTTGCGAACAGACCAGGTCTTGTTAGAGTTCAATAGACAGTCTCAAGTTGAGGATGAACACAACTGCGGATTTGGTAAGCTGCAGTACTTAGGACATATATTGAGAAATCAAGGCAGATACGAGCTACTTCAATGGTAAAATTTAAGGAAAAACGGCCCCAGGAAGAAGAAGAATATCTTGGCTTGCTAATCTGAGAGTATGGAGAGAGACCTCAACATAGCTATTTCGTATAGCAACCAACGAAGTCGTCATAGCCAAAATGATCGCCAACGTTTGGAATGGACACACACCCTAAGAAGAAAAAGAGAGTCTCAATTTCCACCAAATCAAGTGGGAAAATAGTTGCGGCTATTTTCTTGTGGGACGGATAGTACCATAGTAGTAGTGAGATTGGGACCCGCAAAAACTAATTTTTCCCTGTCCGGGGCGAGGAAAAGGATTAGGTTATACAAAGGTTCTGTAAGCTAGCAAAAAAATGTAAAAAATTGCACAAGAAGTTTTACTAGCTGCTGTCAAGTCAAAAAAGGTTTCAGAGCAAAAACTAAGCATGCCCATATGTACTACTATAAAACGCAGCACTCGATTTATCTTTATGTTACTACTAGCTAAAGCCCATCTGGTCTGTATATTTTCTATGGACGTATAAACATAGATGGACACAGCAATAAGATAGTTTTAACACACAATGTTTTGAAGCTTCGATAGAATGTGATGCTTCCGCAATGAGCATAAGCGTGCTTGAATTTTTACTCGCGGGTAATTATTCAGATTTTAAAAATTGGAAGTAGTAATAATGTATAAAAACACGTTCAAAGAATTAAAAAAACCGAGAGTTTAACTATTAATAAATCACGTCTTTATAGAAAAATTCAAATACAATTTTATTTGCTTTAAAATTAATACAATTAAATATAGTTGAATTCAAGTTATTTTTTAATCAGGTAATCAATTAATAATTAATAATTAGGTATCAAAATAATGCTACAATATAAAATCTTTGTCAAAAAAATCAAAAAATCATATGAAAATGTTTTCTCCTTAATTTGCTACCCAAATAGTTCGATCGTCAATAAATGAGTGTTATTCATTTCACTACTTTATTTGTATCCATGAGAAATATTAAATTAAGAAGGTACTAAACAAATCTTTTTTAATCAGATGATGTCTACTTACAATTTATAAATGTTTACTAATTTCATGAACTCATATCTTATTCAATACATTAATGAACATGAATAAACACAATGGTACGTCTATTTAAATGTAAACAAACAAGCTTCCTCATTTCCTCATCTTAAATAATGTAAATTGTACGTACTTACAAATTAAATGAGAGATCGGGAAGTAAATATTTCGTTTATTTTATTTAACTTTTCACAAATATCACTCAAAATTCTGCCAAAATATCGAAAAACAACTTTTCCTCATCTACTGTAAAAAGTAAACAAACATGGAACAGCATTTGAAGTTTGACGTAGATCCATAAGACAGAGAAATGTAAACAACCGTTGCCATTTATAAATAGTTTTCAGTGCTTCTACATATAAAATAATTGATTGATATCTTTTATACGCTATTATTAAATGATAAGGCACACTATGTGCATACTTGATATTTCGATTACAATTAAATATATTAATCTAACACATAAATTATTATTTTGGTTTGATAGCACCTGTAGAGTACAAAATACGGAGTAATATTTTCAGCGACTCGCGAATAAGAAATTTTAAAACAAAACGTGACAACAGTTGAAGGTGCTGAGAATGTGACCTATTCAAATAATTTTGACTACACAATTTTATGTAAATAACTGAATCCATCTGTGTTTATACGTACATGATATTTTCACCCACCTTTTCAGTGTTTATCACTAAATTATAAATTTTAAATATTTTGAAAAAAATTAATAAATAACAGAATATCTAAACGTAATGGAAAAAATCGATAAAGGGAGATATATTTAAAGCATTAATATAATCATACTTATGATACATTTTGTGGAAGGAGGATTTGATTGCAGACCAGTGTAATTTTTAATTAACAAAATCAACGTTAGTACTAGTTATTTTGATGTTTAGATAATAATGTTTAGTAGAAATTGTTCAAAATATTCATTTCATTTAATAATAAGGCTTTTGTCTCTTGATATTACTACTTTCAGCGAGGAAAACGTCAACACGAAGCTCTTGGTCAACACACACGAAGAGTATATTCAGATTTTCTTCCTATACGATACGATCCCAGTGTTTTATACGCTACTACAACCGACGTACACAGGACCCATATGTCGGGCCAATGTAATCTTTATGGTATGTTTCCAGCAGTAGGTAACAATGTTTGGAAGGAAAACCTTAACTGGCAGCCGATTCCGCTTCATCAAGCAGATCCACATATATTTAATGGAAATCCATTTGACTGTCCAAACTATGAACTACTGTTTGCTGACTTATGGCAGCAAGAAGAATATGTAGAACTTTTAAAGAAATATCAAGACGTTTTTGAATATTTGACTGAACATACTGGTGATAATGTAACAGATTTTATGAGCGCTACTACAGTTCATGATTGCTTGCTGATCGAAGATGGTGTTGGTTATAAACTGCCTGAATGGGCTAGTAAGGTCTATCCTGAGCCCTTAGCAACAATGGCAGGGATTGGCTATAAGTCTTTAACTGATTCACTTGAACTGCAGCAATTTTGTAAGTATTTTACTTATATTATAATTATTTTATTTATATTTATAGAAATATCAACTACTTTTCCAAGTTAAGTATTTTAATAAAATTAAAATACCGGTGATAAACAAATTGTAAGATTTTATATCTTTGAAACTATGGAAATTTATAGAGTTGATTGTTTTATTTAGTTATTTACGAGTAGTAATTTAATTTTAAAGTATTTGGTTTTATTTTAATATTTTATGTTTTTTGTAGTAGCTTATAAGCTACCATAATAAACTTGAATACCAAACCGCATGAACTTTGATGAACTTTACGAATTAATCAGTAATACCATTTGCACTTACCTTAATATAAAATAAAAGTTACAAAATATATATTGGAAAAGATTAACCTCCGTCCTTCTTACGTGTATCAAAATGATACCAGCTCGCAAATTTTCAAAGCTATTATTGAACCCTAGAGTAAAGAGAACCCACCTTCATAATACCTTCCTAGCCCAGTTTTAGTCTACCGCTCAGTCGTATTCGTAACCTTCTAGTGATTGCGTGTGTTTACATACAAGTGTATTGTATCATATTGATACATTGCGACCTAACGTGTAAGTGTTGTTTTACTTTGGTCGTATTTTAGGCTATTTTTGGCCTACTTATTATAGGTGAGTGATATTTTATATTTTTATTTTCAGTATAATGGCTACAAAGCAGATTTACAACCTAAATAATCCTAACAATGTATAATATCTTCGAAAATTTATGGTAGAAGAGATCAAAAATGAAGATGCCCCTAACCAAGTGGAAGATTTCGAGGAAAAACCGGACACAGATGCGGAAGATCAGCCAATGGATTAAAGAGTTGGTGACTCGGATACTAAATAGAGTGAAACAGAGGAAGAACCATATTTACATGAAAATTTATTTTAATTTAGAGAAGATGAAACCACTAAATGGATGAAAACATCGCGTGCGAAGAAGCGACACACTGAGCCAAATAACCTGGACATGAGGCGTATAACCAGGTTATGTGAAGTAATACATAAAGCACGACTAGCTAAGTTACATATGGAATGTTGGACTCAGATGTTGTCTGATAAAATGCTACAAACAAAGTTATTGCTTTAACCGACAACGTGATGCAACTGACACAAGCATGACAGAACTCAATGCCTTTATAGGCTTTTTATATCTATCCGGAACTTTTCAAGCCAACAAAATGATACAGGGAACTGTAGCTTATTCAATTCAACAACAACAAAGTTTCCTGTTTGCAGATTTGACTTTAATTCTTCTTTTTCGTTTTGTTCCTGAGGTTTTATGTCACTGAACGAAGTAGATGCAACTGGATCGATATTTGGGTGATTTTCCTGGAGACCACTGTGTTAATTTCCTTTTCTTCGTCCGTTGAAAGAACCATGTCACCATGGCCGGATGAAACGACGCTGTAATTGTCACTATCTTCTTTCGAAGTCGAAAGTTTTATGTCATTTTTATTAATTTTTCTCTTTTGTCTTTTAAAACTTCTTGTTTCTTTGCCAAAATCGCCTTCGCTTTTTTTTTCTAGTTTTTCCCTTCCTTTTTCTCCTTTTTTCTACTCGTTTTCCATCTTCTTTTCTTTCTTCTTTTGGCCTTTTTGATTCATTTGGTGTTATTGATACTGAATATTATCGTTAGCTGTTATGCTTGTACCAGCAGGAACTTCTATTTTTTTCGTTTTATTAATCGGGGTTTAACAACTTTGTGCCTTTTCTGTTCCAAATGGTGGATAAATCTTTGTCCTACCAATTCCAAATTAACTGTCACATTGTTGGAAGGTAAGCGCTTCAATACTTCTTGTTTATCTAAGGGATGTATGCCAGCCTTTTTAAAACCAGACTTTAAGTTTTCCTTTTTATGAAGCTCTAAGTCATCCAAAGATTTTTTCAACAATCTTGGAAAAATATCTTCTGGTAATGTGGCATCAGTTTTGCCACTATCAGACTGTTTACATTCGGTAAGAATCTGTCTCCACTTACTTTTGGGAAGCCTAAAATAGAGTTTGGAGGCAAGCATACGAATTGGATATTGTTCTCTTCGCAAAGCCTGACCACGTTTTGTCTTACATGTGAGCTAAGATTATCACCGATAACTACTTTTTTACCTTCTTGTTTCTTTAAGATTGGAAAAAGATGGGTAGTAAACCAATCTTCAAATGTTGCTCCGTTGATTCAACCTTGTTTTGTCCTGTTGTAATGAGCTCCTTCAAGGCCACCTTCCAAGTATGTGGTCCACAAATGTTCAGCCTTATAAATAATATAAGATGACAAGGAGGTACCATTGGCATTACCACAAAACATAACGCTAATGTTGCACTTAGTCGAATTCGTGATAAGCTCTGGGTACTTAGAACCCCTACGACAGATTACTGTCTTCCTGCTTAAATCGTCAGACATGCATGGTTCGTCGTAGTTATAAATGTTCTGAGGCGGTACACTCTCAACTACTTCCTTTAAGTGATCGAAGCAGTCTAAGATTATTTTTCTATCAATCTGAGCACGATTTGTTTTTATATTTTATGTAAATCTGACTGTCAGCTGAGGATGTCTTTTGAAGAAAGATTTGGTCCAGTCACGGCCAGGAAAATTATTGCAAAAACACTGTATTGTCTTTTCTTGTCTTGTGACATAACTTTTTTTAATATATCTCAAATCCAGTTTATCAATTGGAAATCCGAATTCACACACTTTGTCGATGTGACTAGCAAATGATAACTCTTCTGTCTATGTAAAAACTGTGGGATGACCCAGTAAGCTCAATAACATATTTTTTAGTTTGTTTTTAATAGTGCTTCGTGGTATTTTGAACATATCTGCGGCTTGCCTTTGTGTCATTTCACCAGATCTGATTGCTTCTAAACAGGCTTGGAGATGATCTTGACTGTAGTTGGCATAACTCGGGCATCCTGGTTGGCGTTTGTAGTTATAGGGCATCTTCCGTAATTTAAAAATAAATTTAGTCAATAGAGGAACACCCAGAATGTTGATTTAAAGGAGTAGCTAGGTAATAATTAAAAAAAAAACAAATAAAACAAACGTCAGACTTACTTTCTCCCAAATATAAGTTGGGTCAAAGAAGGTAATACTTACCAATATTGTAACAGGCGTAGAGGGGTTTTTGCAGGTAAAAGTCTGAGACATTAAAAAATCAGTTGTAGCACATATAACATCAAAAGCACTCATGCTGGTACTAGGAGGCGATACGTGAAATATTTGAAGGTCGTTACGAGTTGCGCAGGTCTGCACTTCATCGGAAACTACCGACATCGGCTTAAAAACTACTCTCTCGAGATATGTTGTTTAAAAATGTTTTATTTTATTTTTAATTTGGGAAAAAGTAGAACCCCAGGGCCAAAGTAACCCTTATTTACGGTACATTTTTTATTTGAAACATTTTTTTCTACGGCATACGAGTTTTAATAAATCGGTTTTTCCTCTTGCGAGGGGGGGTTTAGGGGGAAGCCGTGAGGCAGAAGTGCGAACAGTTTTTGCATATTTTTGGTCTCTTAAAATTGACATTCTGAGCAAAATTTAGCATAGTCGTATGATTGGACTGAGGTCAAATTTTACTAAAAGTAGTTTTTTTTTTAATATGACCACAGTCAGTTTTCAGGTGTTCTTTAATTTTAGGTCTAAATATTTTACTTTATTAATATTTTATATAATATTTGAAATAAGACAAGTTTATTTTGATATAGTTGATTTTCAGATAAAATCCTTATATTCCGGTAGCATAACTAACACAGATATTAATTTTAGATTCTGGACCACTTCTCAATGAGATCGTAGAATATCTTGATGCTAAGGTCTCAAACCCACTGGCTGGAGAAAAATATCGAATATACAGTGGACATGATTCCAACATTGCAGCACTCCTAAATACCTTCATTGACTTTGGTGTACCCTACTCTCCAGCTTTTGCAAGTACCATTTATATTGAATTACGACAGATCTCATCCGACGACTTCTATGTCAATGTGTATAGCAAAAATAATGATGATGTTAAGAAAATAACAGTTAGGAACTGTGCTCTTGCTTGTCCTTTTGAATCATTTAAGAGAGAATTACAAGCAGTTTTACTGGATGTCGATACTTTTAAAGAAAAGTGCACAGTCTCCAAACCAAATATTGTAATAAATGAGCAGCATCAAAAAATTATTGAGAGCTATAGAAAAGTTAAAAAGTTATTCAGTTAGTATTATTTTTATAAAAAACTAATAAACTTTAAAACAATTCTGAGTGTATGATTCTTCAAAAAGTGTATGATTTAATCTGGGTTAGATATGACATGTAATGGAAATACAGCATTGAAGTTACTCCTCAAGTATATATGAACTCATAGAAATTTTTAATTTATTTTGTATAAAAAGCATTAAAGGTCACAAAGAAAAACGAAATCAACATCATAATGTGCGATTTTAATGCCAAAGTCGGTAGTGGTAGATGTGATAATGCGGTCGGTGTTTTCGGTCTGGGTCAACAAAAATGAGCGAGGAGAGATACTAATTGAATTTTGTAAGTGACATAGAAATCCTAACACTCAGTTTAAATGATTTTATTTCAATAAAATTAGGTGTAACTTATTTATCTTATTGAAAAAAACAAGTGATAAAGTTTTTAGCCTTATCAGTTGGAGATTGCGGTTTTTATACTTTTTGTTTTTAAATTCACTAACAATCAAAAAATGAATATTTCAGTCGAAGTAAAGATCCACATTTGGCGGATTGTGGTTCTTGACATTCTTTACGATTGGTTACGATGCCTAAAGTACGGAGACCTGTACGATTTCGTCAACTTCGTGAGTTTGATAGGGTCCGTATAATGGGACTTCGGGAAGCTGGACTTTCTTTTCGGGAATTTGCAGTTAGAGTGCAAAGTGATTAGGTGTTGTCAGGCATGGCTTCAAGAAGGCCGTGCGCAAAGAGCAAGGGGCACTGGACTCCGCCGTAGAATAACAGACCGTGAAGATCGCCGCCTAAGATTATTGGCCTTAAGAGACCGTTTCTCCACTACCAGCTCCATTGAAAATGAATGGTTTGCAGAACACGGAAGACCTATTGGCATGCAAAGTGTTTACCGACGAATAAGAAGTTTTGGCCTGTTTTCATACCGACCACACTGGGTCCTCCCTTTAACTTCAGAACACCGCCGTTATCGCCTTCAGTGATGCAGAAAACGGTCACTCTGGAATCAGGAATGGAACAGTATTGTCTTTAGTGACGAGTCTTGTTTTTATTTAGGCATACACAATGATCGAGCGAGGGTTAGAAGGCGACGTGGTGAAAGGAGTAATTCACAGTTTTTTGTTGAAAGACATGTTCATCACACTGTTGGAGTTATGGTTTGGGGTGCTATAGCTTATGGTTCCAGGTCACCTTTAATCTTCATCAGAGGTAACATGAACGCGCAGCGTTATATCTAAGAAGTTCTAGAACCCCACCTTTTACCCTATCTTGACACCCTGACAAATCGAACTTTCCAACAAGATAATGCCCGACCACATATTGCAAGAGTCACAATAGACCTTTTTCAACATAATGATGTCACATTGTTAGCATGGCCACCAAGACCTTCCGACTTATCCCCAATTGACCACGTGTGGAATATGGTGGGTAAGAGATTGCTCAATTTGCAACGTCCTCCTCAGACTCTACAAGCACTTCGAGAGGAGTTGGTGGTTGCCTGGAATGAGATACCACAAGAGGACATTGACCACCTGATCAGAAGCATGTCTAGGCGTGTTGGAGAATGCGTAACACATCGGGGTGCATCCACACATTATTAAAGGTAAAAGGGCTTTAAAGAAATGCAATCATTTTGAAATTTTATTCATTTACTTGTAGCAAAAGTAGCAAAACTAGGCAAGCCCCCTGGACCGGATAGAATTACTATGGAAGCCATAAGACTATTGTAAGATGACAACATCGACATGCTGACATATATAACTGGCCACATTCTAACGGATTGGCTTTATTTAACCTTTATAATGACCCATAAATCACAAAGAGCGATAAAATGCAACGACCACAGACTAATTTTATTGAGGTGTTTCTTAGCATCATTTACACAAGAATGTTCAGAAAGCTGGAAGATCTAAACGGTGAGACAGAATTTGGTTTCAAGAGCGAAGTGGGTACACGTGAAGCAGCTTTCTGCTTGAATCCGCTTGTACAAAACTGCACGGATCAACAAAACGATATAGTCATAACATTTAATGATTAGTTAAACAAATAAACCAATACAGAAGAATGCGATAAGGGTGTATTTTGTCTCCTATGGTTTTCAATCTCTATGTGGAGAACATTTTTGCAGAAGCACTGGGAGGCTCTGAGTGTGGAATAAAGGTAAACGAATTCTCGATAAATAAAATTCGTTACGCCGACGACACCGCGATAATAACAGATATTGAACATGATATGCAGTTGATGTTAAATAAAATAAATACCTTAGGAAAAACATGGTTTAAAGATAAATGCTGGAAAACTTAATGCATGGCAATAAAACAAAACACACTTTTAAGAATACAACTGCAAGTAGATAATGCTCCAATAGATCAAGTGAAAACATTTAAATACTTGGGAATGATGATAAATAACCAATGGGCTTCACAAGAAATAAAATGCCTTACCTAACAAGGTAGACAAGCTTTTATCAAATTTAAACCGCTACTATGTATCCGCAATCTTTGCTTTAATCTCCGCTACAGGATGGTTAAATGCTAGGTATCATTATGCTATAGTCCATTAATTAGTTCCATTAATAAGTTGAATGTCCCGCAAATCACTTACTGGTGAGAAACGAGGAAGTCTTAAGAAAAGCAAATACTGAGAGAGAACTACTCAATCTGATCAAGGTAAGAAAAATTCGATACCTCGGCCATAGTCTGGGAGGAAAAAATACGCAATTCCTCAACTAATCATCCAGGAAAAGATTAAATGCAAGAGAGGAGTGGGTCGCAAACAAATGTCATGGCTAAGGAACATAAAGATCTAGACAGGCATAAATAATGCTGGCGATGTTTTGCATGCCGTAAAAGACAGACATCTGGCCTTATAAATAATAGAAGAAATAAATGGTTTGACGATGAGTGCAAATTAGCAATGGAAAAAAGAATAAAACAAGATTAAAATTGTTGAGCACAAGCAAAGACGAAAACGTGAAAAATACAAAGATCAAAGGTAAACGACAAAGAAATTATTTATATTATAAAAAAAAAATAAAAATTAGAAAAACATATGAATGAGAAACCGAAATTAAAAGACACAACTCTAAACCATTGTAGCAATACTTAAAACTAGGTAACCAAAAACGGACAGCTAATATAGCTAGAGAAGCAGAAAAATGTGCTTCGAAATATTTCGAAGAAATATATCAAGAAACGAATAGAGAAGAAGAAAGAGAAACAATAACGAACACAGAACAAGATGAAAAGAAGAAGAATTGGCCTATACAGAAGTGAAAGAGAAAATATGCAAACTTAAAAACGGAAAAACAACGTGAGAAGACGGAATATGTGCAGAACTTATAAAATACGGTGGGGAGGCACTATACAGACACCTTTATAAACTAATGCAGAATATATGGAGCAAAGAAATAATGCCTCAAGAATGAAAGAAAAAAATTAGAGTGACGATCCCAGAACAAAGAGACCATAGAACATGCAAAGACTATCATGCAATTAATTTACTGAATGTTACATGTAAAGTAATGACTGGTATAATTAGAGAAAGACTAACAATATATATTGAGATAATAACAAATATAGAAGAAATTAGCATAATTATATTATTATTTTTAATTAATAAACTTAAATAGTGATTAAAGAAATAATTTATAAGTTATATACTAGAGAATATTATAAAAATTATTTATATGAGGGTATTTTTAAGAAATTAGCATATATATGTATGTAAATAAGTGTAAAAAGTTTTTTTTAATAATTATGATATATTTAAGTGAGCCATGTGCATAGGCAACCAAATATACATGTGTTATTGTGTTATTGTGACATAAGAGTGTCGTGAATAATTACGAATGTAAAATAGTGTTATGTATTAATTCAAGATGATTAGTTTATATATAAGTTTATATTCTGATCTGAAAAGAAGAAGATCTGAAAATTCTCGATAGAAAGGTAAAGAATTCTCTAGAACACGTCAATATAAGGAAGTTAACCCTATTTGCGAGGTAGACTATTCGAGAACATTCATATATTTAGGAAATAGAACAATTTCGAATATGATTTATTTCAAGAATATTCGGGAATGATGAAAAGATATAAATATTCGGTGGTTTGAAAGATAGAAGACATTTGGTTCAGGACAGTATGAAAGTAAATTAGAACAGTTACAGTTGGACAGTGAGACAGTTAGTTACAGTTTGGATAGTATGAGAGTAAATTAGAACTGTTACAGTTGGACAGTGAGACAGTTAGTTACAGTTTGGACATAATGAGACTAAATTAAAACAGTGAGATAGTTAACAGTTGGACATAGTTAGTGATATCATTAAGATGTCAATCATTCAGTCAGTTGGTCAGTAAAAAGTACAAACATATAGTATTCAGTAGTATATACTATCAGTATTATAATGGTTATATGGTGATTGGAGATTAGAAGAAATTAAAATTATATTAGTTATATGGTGATTGGAGATTGGTATATTAAAAAGAATAGACATAGAAGAATAAACATATATGCCATTAAGAAGAAAAATATTTTAAATTGGTGGAAGCTGATAATTAAAACATTGTGGTGTATTTGGAAAAGTAATTTCACAAAAACAAGGATAATCGAGGCTGAAAACGAAGATATTGAGTGGTGATCAAACCTTTTATTTTGGAAAACAGTTTCATTTAGGCATTCAGTGACAGAAAGGTACCAAATTTTGTTAATATAATTTAATTATTGTAAGAATTTCAATTTTAAGATAGGTTGTTCTAAATTTATATTGTCTATATTAGATATATATGTGTGTTCATAATAATTATAATAAATTTAATTTTAAAAAGTACTTACAAACTAATTCTTTGAGAACTACGATAAAAACCCTATAATTATATATGTTATATATATATATATATATATATATATATATGTTATATATATATAATTATATATATATAATTATATATGTTATATATATATATATATATATATATATATATATATATATATATATAACATATATAT